GTCACATGGCCTGAGGTCACATGGCCTGAGGTCACATGGCCTGAGGTCACATGGTCTGTTTCAGGACAAGAACAGGACGTCTCGTTTCGACACACTACGACACTCTCTCGCCGGGATCATCACTCGCTCGCCCAAACTGCACAGCTCCTCCTCCTCAGTGAGTCTGAAGTACTACTACTGCTACTGCTACTACTACTACTGCTGCTACTGCTACTGCTAGTACTACTACTACTTCTGCATGAGCCTGTGGCAGTAAAGCCTAGTGTATAGTCGTGCAGCACGGAGCTTACGGTGGTGACGTGACGTCACTTGCGCAACGCAAGGATCACCGCAGACCCTTACGCAGCCACGCACCCTCGAAAATGTCTAACTACGTAAGGGTCGCCGCAGAGAAGCTCCGCTGTGATTGGTCCGTGTGTGAGAGAAGCTCCGCTGTGATTGGTCCGTGTGTGAGAGAAGCTGCGCTGTGATTGGTCCGTGTGTGAGAGAAGCTGCGCTGTGATTGGTCCGTGTGTGAGAGAAGCTGCGCTGTGATTGGTTTGTGTGTGAGAGAAGCTCCGCTGTGATTGGTCCGTGTGTGAGAGAAGCTGCGCTGTGATTGGTTTGTGTGTGAGAGAAGCTCCGCTGTGATTGGTCCGTGTGTGAGAGAAGCTCCGCTGTGATTGGTCCGTGTGTGAGAGAAGCTCCGCTGTGATTGGTCCGTGTGTGAGAGAAGCTCCGCTGTGATTGGTCCGTGTGTGAGAGAAGCTCCGCTGTGATTGGTCCGTGTGTGAGAGAAGCTCCGCTGTGATTGGTCCGTGTGTGAGAGAAGCTCCGCTGTGATTGGTCCGTGTGTGTGTATTGGAAGGAAGCACGGAGCGGCTGCGGGGAACATGGACGAGGCTCTATGGAGCAGAGAGCTTTGTGCTTCGAAGGAACCAAAGGAAAAGTAGTTTGGGCTCAGAGCCTGATATACAGGAGACTGTGGACTATCTAAAATATATATAACTTATATAACATATAACTTATATCTAACATATATAACTGTCTTGTCTGAGTCGTAGCTGCGTCTGTTGCGTTCCTCCTGTTCTTGTAAATCGTTCATGTTTGTCTGTTTGTTTGTTTCTGTTTGTGCTGAAAACACTTTAATAATAACTGTAATATAGTAATAACATATTTAATATATAATAATAATAATGTTTCCAACAGAACTGTGTCTTTATTCACAGCATCACAGTTAAATGAGTTGAAACGATGAGTTTAGAACGGTCACATAAACCTACAGTAGAAACACATGTAATGATCTCAAACAGCTTCACTTTGTTTTTGTTCTGAAGAGGAGAAAGAAGCAGCTTTGGTTTCCGACTGTGACTGTGTAGGTCCGACTGTGACTGTGTAGGTCCGACTGTGACTGTGTAGGTCCGACTGTGACTGTGTAGGTCCGACTGTGGCTGCGTAGGTCCGACTGTGGCTGCGTAGGTCCGACTGTGGCTGCGTAGGTCCGACTGTGGCTGCGTAGGTCCGACTGTGGCTGCGTAGGTCCGACTGTGTCTGCGTAGGTCCGACTGTGGCTGCGTAGGTCCGACTGTGGCTGCGTAGGTCCGACTGTGGCTGCGTAGGTCCGACTGTGGCTGCGTAGGCCCGACTGTGGCTGCGTAGGTCCGACTGTGGCTGCGTAGGTCCGACTGTGGCTGCGTTGGCCCGACTGTGGCTGCGTAGGTCCGACTGTGGCTGTGTAGGTCCGACTGTGGCTGTGTAGGCCCGACTGTGACTGTAGGTCCACCTGTGACTGTGTAGGTCCGACTGTGACTGCGTAGGTCCGACTGTGGCTGCGTAGTGTGGCTGCGTAGGTCCGACTGTGGCTGCGTAGATCCGACTGTGGCTGTGTAGTGTGGCTGCGTAGGTCCGACTGTGGCTGTGTAGATCCGACTGTGACTGCGTAGGTGCGTAGGTCCGACTGCGACTGCGTAGGTCCGACTGTGGCTGTGTAGATCCGACTGTGACTGCGTAGGTGCGTAGGTCCGACTGCGACTGCGTAGGTGCGTAGGTCCGACTGTGACTGCGTAGGTGTGTAGGTCCGACTGTGACTGCGTAGGTCCGACTGTGGCTGCTTAGATCCGACTGTGACTGCGTAGATCCGACTGTGACTGCGTAGGTGCGTAGGTCCGACTGTGACTGCGTAGGTGCGTAGGTCCGACTGTGGCTGTGTAGGTCCGACTGTGGCTGCTTAGATCCGACTGCGACTGCGTAGGTGCGTAGGTCCGACTGCGACTGCGTAGGTGCGTAGGTCCGACTGCGTAGGTCGTAGGTCGACTGCGACTGCGTAGGTGCGTAGGTCCGACTGCGACTGCGTAGGTGCGTAGGTCCGACTGTGACTGCGTAGGTGTGTAGGTCCGACTGTGACTGCGTAGGTCCGACTGTGGCTGCTTAGATCCGACTGTGACTGCGTAGATCCGACTGTGACTGCGTAGGTGCGTAGGTCCGACTGTGGCTGTGTAGGTCCGACTGTGGCTGCTTAGATCCGACTGTGACTGCGTAGATCCGACTGTGACTGCGTAGGTGCGTAGGTCCGACTGCGACTGCGTAGGTGCGTAGGTCCGACTGCGACTGCGTAGGTGCGTAGGTCCGACTGTGACTGCGTAGGTGTGTAGGTCCGACTGTGGCTGCGTAGGTCCGACTGTGGCTGCGTAGGTCCGACTGTGGGTGCGTAGGTCCGACTGTGGCTGCGTAACCAGCGCTGCGTGAGTGTACACTAGGCTTAACTCCTCTTTCTGCAGCAGTTCTTCGATGTGATCCCCACCTCGGAGCGCCCTCTGGTGGACCAGGAGTGGTACCACGGGGCTATCCCTCGCACTGAGGCCCAGGAGCTGCTCCGCACTCAGGGAGACTTCCTGGTCCGAGAGAGTCACGGGAAACCAGGAGAGTACGTCCTCTCTGTATTCTCAGAGGGACAGAGGAGGCACTTCATCATCCAGTACGCTGACGTGAGTACTGCTACTGGTACTGCTGCTGCTGCTACTGGTACTGCTACTCCTACTGGTAATGCTGCTGCTACTGGTACTGCTGCTGCTACTGGTACTGCTGCTGCTACTGGTACTGCTGCTGCTACTGGTACTGCTGCTGCTACTGGTATAGCTGCTGCTACTGGTACTTCTGCAACTGCTCAGTCCCCTTAGTCTCTGTCCTCAGTCTCTGTCCCCAGTCTCTGTCCTCAGTCTCTGTCCTCAGTCTCTGTCCTCAGTCTCTGTCCCCAGTCTCAAGTCTTAGTCTTAGTCTTAGTCTTAGTCTCAAAACACTAGCAGGAGGGATGAGAATCAGCACCTCCAAATCTGAGGCCATGGTGCTCGACCGGAAAAAGGTGCCCTGCCCTCTTCAGGTGGGTGGAGAGGTCCTTCCTCAAGTGGAGGAGTTCAAGTATCTCTGGGTCTTGTTCACGAGTGAGGGAAGGATGGAGCGTGAGATTGACAGGCGGATCGGTGGTAAAGAGGGAGCAGCGTCTGCAGTCAGAGCTGTATCGGACCGTTGTGGTAAAGAGGGAGCAGAGCCGAAAGGCAAAGCTCTTGATTTACCGGTCAATCTTCGTTCCCTCCCTCACCTATGGTCATGAGCTTAACAATCTGGAGTCAGGCTCCACAGCTTGGACAAACACAGTTGCCGGCCCTAAAGCGGCATTCGCGCTTCATATTGAGCTCACAACTAGTAAGTACAGTGCCATTCCCCTTCGATTGTCTCCTTATCCATCCTGCTTTATATAAAATACTTTACGCTCCCCGCAGCGCTCTGTGCGTGGCGTCTTGCGGCCCAGTTGCGGTGCAGGGTCAACTGAGGACACCTCCCGCATGTTTGATGTGCGTGCAGTCACATACCATTACGGTAAGCTGGTGTGTGCCGCGTATCCGCCCATTAACATTACTTTCCAAACTTGGTGCTAACTAAGCGCTCTTTATAAGGTGGGGCACCCGGTTCTACGCGCCTCCTGCGCTGGGTCTCTAGGTGAGCGCTTCACGCAGAGGATTCATGGTGCGTATTTTCCCGGCTCCTGAGCTGCTACGTGGGGTTTTACCTGTACTGTAAATTCTAAATTGTCACTTCTTTTAGGTCCAGTCTTCTCGAGCCTCTCCTTTCCTCTCCTCCTGAGTTGCCTTGGCTCATGTTTTCCTGGGGTCCATACAGTGTGGTCCATTTAGTGGCCATCAGTTAAAGGAGGTGCCTGTAACTTTTGAAATAGCTGCTGTGAGTTTGCACAAAAGCACATGTAAGCAACTATGCACTTTAAAACAAGTTAATCTGGGGTCATTGTGTTTGTTTTGTGTACTGTGCACTGCATTTTAAAAACTATTTTAATTATGAACTTAAGTGAATGTTAATATCAAATAAATATTGTAAACCTTTTTCTAATTTTGTCTCTGTCCCTCAGTTACTTACCTGTGTTAGCCGTAATCCTTTATTTTTTATTTTCCCTTCGGGGTGGCGTTGTTGGCAACAAACCAGTATTTAAAATTATCCACCAGTATATCACAGCCCTCGCACCATATGTAGTTACCTGCAGTTCATCCAGAGAGATCATGGGCCTCTCCCCTGGTCTCTCACCTGGTCTCTCACCTGGTCTCTCACCTGGTCTCTCTCCTGGTCTCTCCCCTGGTCTCTCACCTGGTCTCGCCCCTGGTATCTCCCCTGGTCTCTCCCCTGGTCTCTCACCTGGTCTCTCCCCTGGTCTCTCCCCTGGTCTCTCCCCTGGTCTCTCCCCTGGTCTCTCACCTGGTCTCTCCCCTGGTCTCTCACCTGGTCTCTCACCTGGTCCCGCCCCTGGTATCTCCCCTGGTCTCTCCCCTGGTCTCTCCCCTGGTCTCTCACCTGGTCTCTCACCTGGTCCCGCCCCTGGTATCTCCCCTGGTCTCTCCCCTGGTCTCTCCCCTGGTCTCTCCCCTGGTCTCTCACCTGGTCTCTCCCCTGGTCTCTCACCTGGTCTCTCCCCTGGTCTCTCCCCTGGTCTCTCCCCTGGTCTCTCCCCTGGTCTCTCACCTGGTCTCTCCCCTGGTCTCTCACCTGGTCTCTCCCCTGGTCTCTCCCCTGGTCTCTCCCCTGGTCTCTCCCCTGGTCTCTCACCTGGTCTCTCCCCTGGTCTCTCCCCTGGTCTCTCCCCTGGTCTCTCACCTGGTCTCTCCTCTGGTCTCTCACCTGGTCTCTCGCCTGGTCTCTCCCCTGGTCTCTCACCTGGTCTCTCACCTGGTCTCTCCCCTGGTCTCTCCCCTGGTCTATACCATTCAATCCAAACGGGGGGAAAACAAAAAGATGCAACTGTGATTTCCGTGGACACAAAATGGCGTCTTGTGCCCGAGAAGCATTCACGTCCCCCAGCAACAAACTGCTTTCTTCTTCTACAAGTACCTTTTCTCAGGACGGACGCAGCCAATCAGAGGAAGGGCAGTCACGGCCAGACACCGGAGCACGCCGTCCATGTGGATGGAACTCTTTGGGACCAGATTGTGAACTTTGTTGTTTTTAGGACGGACACAGAATGACTCCTCTGCTCTGAGCGTGTTCATGGTTCTGTTCATGGTTCTGTTCATGGTTCTGTTCATGGTTCTGTTCATGGTTCTGTTCATGGTTCTGTTCACCTGTATGTATTCTGTATTCTTTTATTTTTTACACCTGTATCCGTATCTACATGTACATATGTTATTTTTATTCTGTCGTTTGATGGTTCAGAAGTTTACTCAAATTGTAACACAAAAATGCTGGTGCGAGGCCACGCGGAAAAGTCACTGATGTCATATGTTCATAACCCTTTAGCATTAGGCAAGGTTATTGGTATAGCACAGTCCACACACGGCAACTCACAAGACAAGGCTTTAAATCAGAAAGTCAGGATTAAATCTGTTTTTAACCTGGATTTGAATATTGCCCGTCTCACGTTTTCTGGAAGACTGTTTTTAGCTGCATAAATCTGAAACACTGCCTCCCCATGTTTAGTCCTGACTCTGGGACCAGCAGGAGACCAGTCCCTGTGCTCCTCAGAGTCCCAGCAGGAGGCCAGTCCCTGTGCTCCTCAGAGTCCCAGCAGGAGGCCAGTCCCTGTGCTCCTCAGTCTTAGCAGGAGGCCAGTCCCTGTGCTCCTCAGAGTCCCAGCAGGAGGCCAGTCCCTGTGCTCCTCAGAGTCTTAGCAGGAAGCCAGTCCCTGTGCTCCTCAGAGTCCCAGCAGGAGGCCAGTCCCTGTGCTCCTCAGAGTCCCAGCAGGAGGCCAGTCCCTGTGCTCCTCAGAGTCCCAGCAGGAGGCCAGTCCCTGTGCTCCTCAGAGTCACAGCAGGAGGCCAGTCCCTGTGCTCCTCAGTCCCAGCAGGAGGCCAGTCCCTGTGCTCCTCAGAGTCTTAGCAGGAGGCCAGTCCCTGTGCTCCTCAGAGTCCCAGCAGGAGGCCAGTCTGTGCTCCTCAGAGTCAGCAGGAGGCCAGCCGTGCCCAGCAGGCTCCTGTGCTCCTCAGAGTCCAGCAGGAGGCCAGTCCCTGTGCTCCTCAGAGTCAGCAGGAGGCCAGTCCCTGTGCTCCTCAGTCGCAGGAGGCCAGTCCCTGTGCTCCTCAGAGTCCAGCAGGAGGCCAGTCCCTGTGCTCCTCAGAGTCCCAGCAGGAGGCCAGTCCCTGTGCTCCTCAGAGTCACAGCAGGAGGCCAGTCCCTGTGCTCCTCAGAGTTCCACTTGGTTCTTATAGCACTAACATTTGGTGCGAGACTTAAAGCTGTGGTCTCTATTTTCAAAGCTCATGTAAAAATCTAATTCTTATTTCTGTCTGAGCCCAAAGGGTCAAATAGTGACTCACAGGGACTGTTGGATCACGTCAGCACAATGACCTGGGGAGATGACGTCGGATTTATCCACAATAAACACATTTCTCACACTTTTTCTATCGCGACAAACAACATTTCAGTCTCGAAACAAAACTTTAGGTTCAGCAGCTTTAAGTTTCTAATAAATAATGTTTAACTGTTTTTCATCACAACAATTCTATTCTATGTTTTTAGCCTCGTCAAAGGACTTTACCAAGTTGTCGATTCGTCGACACGGATCAGAAAATCAAACAGACACAGTGGTCTCTCTCTGGTCTCTCTCTGGTCTCTCTCTCTGGTCTCTCTCTGGTCTCTCTCTGGTCTCTCTCTGGTCTCTGTCTGGTCTCTCTCTCTGGTCTCTCTCTGGTCTCTCTCTGGTTTCTCTGGTCTCTCTCTGGTCTCTCTCTGGTCCCTCTCTGGTCTCTCTCTGGTCTCTCTCTGGTCTCTCTGGTCTCTCTCTCTGGTCTCTCTCTCTGGTCTCTCTCTGGTCTCTCTCTCTGGTCTCTCTCTCTGGTCTCTCTCTCTCTGGTCTCTCTCTGGTCTCTCTCTCTGGTCTCTCTCTCTGGTCTCTCTCTCTCTCTGGTCTCTCTGGTCTCTCTCTCTGGTCTCTCTCTCTGTCTCTCTCTGGTCTCTCTCTGGTCTCTCTCTCTGGTCTCTCTCTGGTCTCTCTGGTCTCTCTCTGGTCTCTCTCTCTGGTCTCTCTCTGGTCTCTCTCTCTTCTTCTCTTCTCTCTGGTCTCTCTCTGGTCTCTCTCTCTGGTCTCTCTCTTTGGTCTCTCTCTCTGGTCTCTCTCTCTGGTCTCTCTCTCTGGTCTCTCTCTGGTCTCTCTCTGTCTCTCTGGTCTCTCTCTGTCTCTCTCTCTGGTCTCTCTCTGGTCTCTCTCTGGTCTCTCTGGTCTCTCTCTGGTCTCTCTCTCTGGTCTCTCTCTGGTCTAAACAACATCTTAACATCAAAAACATCAAATATCAGATTTAGTTTCAAATGAGTTCAGTTCGAATCTCATTTAATATTTCAGTTTTTATTTTGTATAAATTGTATGAAATAAACTTTTAGCACAGGTACAAAAGCACTGAGCCGTGTTATACTTTTACTTTCACTTTCAAAGGCTCATAATCTCACCTTTTCCCGCGTGGCCCGGTTCAAACCTCTGCATTGCTGTATATTTTTATATGCTGTTTTTTGACGACTGAATGGAAGGATCTCACCGTTTCCATGGTTACCACTTTGAATATACGTCATTTTAAAACAAAGTCTCCTCCTCCCTCTCTACGATGCAGATTAAAGGGAAATGTCTGGGAGTTTTTGATATATATTTTTACTCCATTTTCTGGCTGATAACCAGGAAAGCCTTGTTCTCATGTTGGGTTTGTGCGACAGGATCCTTGGGTTGTGTTCTTCTTCTAGGATTGTGTTTCTTTCTAAAGATCATTATTGACGGTTCTCTGTACGGCTGCGCTGTTACGAATGTGTCCACAAAGTCCGTATTCTCACTTGGCATAAAGTCATTTTTTTAATAATATTGGGTTGTTTTTGTGGTTTGTGCTGATTGACAAGGGGGCGGGGTCTAGCTATGATGTCACAGATCGGAGAGATTCGACCCGGAGCGTTCTGTGAGGGCCAGAGCAGAACATAGAGTGAAAAGTGATGAGAAAATAGTCTAAAAATGCTGAAATTAGGCAAAACATGTGTCTTACTTTGGGATTAGATCGATTTAAGAGTTTTAAGACTTTTTCAAGTGTATCTGTCTGCGGCCTGCAGTACGGAGGCGTGTCGAGTAGTAGGCGTGTCGGGTAGTGACGTCACTACTCGACACGCCCACTCCGCGTGTATGAGCATGGATCTATTATAATACGGGTATGAGTAGTAGTGAGTACTATCTATGCCCAATGAATTTATGCGCAATAATGAATTTTATGGCGCATGTCATTGTCAATATTATTTATTGGGGGAAAATGGACAAATTTTGTAAATATCAAAGCAGTAAATTTGCCTACAAAAGCTGCCATTACTTCAGACTATCAATCAATAGGGATTTGAAGCAGCTCAGGACAAAAGTTAATGAGTCAAATAATGCCAGTGCTTATGTCTAATGTGTACATTCATTTATAAAAGGGGCCTATGGTTGGTGGCTCAAATCCTGGCTGCCCCAAGTGCAGTCTGGTATGTTCTTGAGCAATGCACTTCACCCACATGTGTGGACATAGTGAGAGACTGCTTGGTGGTGGCCAATAGCACAGATTAGTAGCCTGGCATCCTCCAACCCAGCTGTGACACACTGTGTGGAATAAATGAATAAAGTAGTGTGGCGTTTTGAGAAACTTGTCAACACAGGATTGAAAAGTACATTACAAGTTAAAGATATTATTACACCACCACCACCACCACACACTCCTACACCCATGGTCTCCACATTACTGATCATAAAGAGAACATGCCATAACATTTTTGTGCCCAACTTTGGCCTTTTGGGACAAGCAGACATTCATTACTATTGTGTTTTGTCAAATTTGTATGTAGAAGAGGGAGATTAAACAAAAAGAACAAATTGTTTTCTGGCATTTTATGTACATGCTTTTTTATGAATTTGTGTTATCTGAATGGCTCTGAAATGTAGACACTGAATAAGTTCAACACAAAACAAATTCTCTTTTATTATAATCGTGAGAGAAAGGCTTCAGAGGAGAGCGCCAATCTCCATCTCTCTTGGAAAGCTTTCAGCCTCCCTGCTGCCTCCTCTGGTAAATGCCTCACCAGATCATTTGCAATCATTTTAAACTCACTGTCCATAAAGAACAATCACAGATTAGATTGTGCAGTGCACAGTGAAATATGTCCATCAATATTTAAATAATCTTACCATGGTTCATACTTTGGCCCCTTTATGAATTTTTCAATTGCCTCTTGCTGAGGCAGGTGAAATGCCTCGGCCAGAGTGTGAACTGTCACCTAGATAAGAGTAAAATGTGTTACATTCAACAACAACAGTTCACAAAACCAAATGCAGCCCTAAAAGGTGTTGTGTCCTGTTTAATTTTTTTTATTTCAAAATGTTTTTATTATTTTAAACATAGAAAAAGTACAAATCAACATGAGAATATGCATTCAATACATTCACTTAGTCTTAATGCGATTTCCATCCCATAGTCATGCCCAGACATTGGTATTTTAGTACTTGAAAGAAAAAACAAAACAAAACAACAACCACAAACAAAATATACCCCCCCCCCCCCCCCCAAATAAAGACGAGGAAGAAAGAAGAGAAAGAAGAAAAGCAAGAGAAGAGAAAAGAAGAGAGTGGGCTCTTACTCTAGTACATTTGCATCAAATACATCCTCATAGTAATCCAGAAAAGGTTGCCATATAATTTTGAATTTTTCATTTTGTACAATAGTTCTAATCTTTTCAAGCTGGAGGAATGACATTGTCTCCTTCACCCAGTGCGAGTGTTTAGGAACCTGTGGAGACTTCCAATTTGAAAGAATCAAACGGCGAGCCAGCAATGAGGAGAATGCTATCATTTGACACTGACCATTGGAGAGCCCGTTTACTCGAACTACCCCAAATACCGCAGTAATTGGATCTGGGTCTATCCGTCTTTTAAAAATATGTGAGAAAGTGTCAAAAATTTCGGACCAAAATATGTACAAATTCGGACAGGACCAAAACATGTGTGGCAAAGTCGCTGCACTTTGTTTACAACGAGTGCAGGTCGGGTCCACATTAGGGTACATTTTGGCCAGTCTAGTCTTTGATAGGTGTAATCGATTGAGGACTTTGAATTGAATTAATCTGTGTCTAACACAAATAGATGATGTGTATGTCTTAGTAATGACTCTTTGCCAAATTTCATCAGTAAATTTTACATTCAAACCATTCTCCCACTGGGTTTTCAAAGGAATGAGCGATGGAGAATCAATATTGTGAATTATTTTATATAACTGGGACACAGCACCTGGTTTTTGCAGTTTTATTGCCAAACAGTCGTCAATGGGACTATTTCCAGGTTGTAAAGGAAATGATGCATATAGTGTACGGACAAGGTCACGAATTTGGAGATAGCGAAAGAAGTGTGATTTTGGTAGCACATATTTTGTAGTCAGTTGTTCAAAGGTTGCAAAGCTACCATCAAAAAATAAATTATCAACACATTTTATGCCTTGTCTGGTCCATAGTTGGAAAGCAGTGTCAATTAATGATGGTTTGAACACAGCATTTTTAATCAAAGGCATAGAAGCCAAGGCTTGTGTGCATTGGAAGTGTTTACGAAATTGAGTCCAGATGCGAAGACTTGATCTGACAATTAAGTTATCTGTGTATTCTGCCACTGGTATCGGAAGTGGGGCGCATAACAGTGACGCTAAAGACACTCATGTACAGGAATGTTGTTCCATTAAAGACCAATTTGGACCGTCACCCTTCAAATTTAAGTTATACCAAATGGATAATTTGAAGATATTCGCAGCCCAATAATAATACAAAAAATTTGGAAGACCCAAACCACCATTTTCTTTGCATCGCTCCAAAACCGCCTTTCTAACACGGGGCAAAGACTTATTCCAAATAAAGCGACTTATGTACCCATCAAGTTCTTTAAAAAATGACTTAGGCAAAAAGATTGGTATTGTTGTAAACAGGTACAGGATTTTTGGTAAAATTACCATTTTAACCGAGTTAACTCTGCCAGCCAGAGACAAAGGAAGGGAGGACCAGCGATTGAGATCCTCCTTGATCTGATCCAGTAATCTTTTGAAATTGGCCTGGAACAAATCATTATAATTAGGAGTGACATTAACACCCAAGTATGTAAATTGTCCTTTGACAATTTTAAAATTATACAGGTCAAAATTCTGTTTTCTTGCCAAAATATTAATGGGAAACAATGTACTTTTTGTGGTATTGATCTTATATCCAGACGACTCACCAAATTGTGAAATAATTTCCAGACTCTCTGGGATTGAGGTATCTGGTTTTGACAGGAATAATAGCAAGTCGTCCGCATATAGTGAGACTTTGTGAACCATTCCACCCCGTGAGACCCCTTGTATGGAATTGTTATTCCTTAAAGCAATAGCTAGCGGCTCAATAGCGAGGTCGAAAAGGAGTGGTGACAGAGGGCAACCCTGCCTTGTACCTCTTTGGAGGGTAAAATAAGATGAGTTGAAATTGTTTGTTCTCACCCTCGTTTGAGGCGCCGAGTACAGCGTCTCCACCCAAGAAACAAAAGTTGAGCCAAATCGAATTTGTCTAATGTCTTAAACAGATGACCATATTCAATCGAGTCGAATGCTTTGTGTGCATCTAATGACACCACAACTTCTGGAGTTTTGGTAGAGGTTTTGGAGTACAGTACGTTGAAAAGCCGTCTTAGATTATGAAACGATTGCCGGCCTTTCACAAAGCCTGTTTGGTCATTGTGTACAATTGTTGGTACAATTGGTTCCAATCTTAGTGATAATATTTTAGTAAGAATCTTGTAATCACTTGTGAGCAAACTCACTGGACGGTAGGACTCACATTTTGTCAGATCTTTATCTTTTTTGGGGAGAACTGAAATGGTGGCCTGGGTCATTGATGTTGGGAGTTTCTTTTGTTTGAGGGCTTCCCTGTAAACTAAGCATAATAAAGGAGTTAATTTATTGGCGAAAGCCTTATAAAACTCGATCGGATACCCATCGGGCCCCGCCGCCTTCCTGTTTTTCATAGATTTAATAGCTTTCCCGATTTCAGTTTCTGATATTGGCGCCTCCAAAGATTGTTTGTCTCCTTCTGCTATAATTGGGAATGTTATATTATCTAAAAAAATCATTATTACGCCAGTTATTTGAGGTGTACAGAGATGAGTAGAAGCTTTTGAATTGATCATTAATGTCCTTGATATCCACTTTAATTTCCCCATCTAACGCCTGTATTCTTCCAATAAAATTAGTTGCAGAGTGTTGACGCAGCTGGTATGATAATAACCGACCGGCTCGCTCACCGTGTTCATAACAGTTATGTCTGGATTTTAAGTATTTTTCTGCGGCTTCTTTAGAGGCTAGAAGGTCAAATTCTGTTTGTAATGCTATCCTTTGTTTTCGCAAATCCCCTTTAGGTGTAACAGAATGCTGCTGGTCAACATCCCTTATTAATTTGATCAACTCTGTAAATCTTTTGGTGCGAGCTTTATTAAGACGGGCTGTATATTCTATTATTTGACCCCTGATGTAGACTTTCAGGGTTTCCCAAAGTGTGAAAATATTTGTATCTGGTAAATGATTTGTGTCAAGAAAAAAATCTATTTGTTTTGAGATAAAGTCTACGAACTTTTCATCAGATAGTAAGTATGTATTGAATCGCCAGTTGCATTGATGTGGTAATCTATTCTGCAGATGAAGTTCTAAAATAACTGGGGCATGATCCGAAATTACAATACTTTCATAATCAGTTGACCTAGTCAGTGGGAGTAAGTTTCGATCTATTAGAAAATAATCAATTCGAGAGTACGTCGGATGTACTGCCGAGAAGAAAGAGAATACTTTGGAAGTCGGATTTTTAAAACGCCATGGGTCAACAATCCCCGCAGATTGACAAAATGTGTTTATGGTGTCAGCAGACTTTGATGGCGAGGTTGTTGATATTTTAGATCGATCAATAGGTTGGAGGGCAGTATTTAGATCCCCAGCGAATATGAGATGGTGTGTGCCCAGTTCTGGTATACGCCCAAACAAATCCTTGAAACATTTTGAATCATCCCAGTTGGGAGCATAGACGCTGATCAAGACCACTGGTTTATTATACAGCCTTCCTTGTACAATAATAAATCTCCCATTTTTATCACTAATGACTTTGTTATGGACAAACTGCACCTTTGTACCGATCAGAATTGCTGTACCACAAAATTTTGAATTTAGTTCAGAATGGAAAATCTGAGATACATTACTCCTCTTCAATTTTTGAATATCTTTTGTGCGAAGGTGTGTTTCCTGTAAGAAGATTACCTCTGCTTTCAATTTATTGAGATGAGAAAACACCTTGCTCCTCTTCACTGGGTGATTGAGTCCCCTCACGTTCCAGCTCACCAATCTAGTTGGTGGACCTATCATGTCACCAGAAGCACGACAATTTTGCAGTAGTCTATGTGGACGTATCTATAAAGCAGTTGCATCACATCGCCAGCCCTATAGAAAAGGGAGAAGAGAGAAAAAGGAAAAACAGAAAAGCCAAGAAAGAAAAATAGCACAGAAGTCACCTTCCCCCCAAAACAAACCCTTTGCTGCTGGTCCCTCCCAAAGTAAGAGACTGCACCCCCCCCACCTCCCAAGCCACTATGAAGCATCTAAACTAAGTAAGAACTTTCCTAACCACTTACCAAAAGTGGCTGAGATCCTACCTAAACCTTAAATTAATTAAAACTAAAAAAACTGTAAAATAAATAAAAATAATAAAATAACACCTAATTAAAATGTTTTTTTTTTTTGTTTTTTTTTTTTCCTCCCCCTTATTACCCTTTCCTCCTCTTCCTTCCTCCCTCCCCATTAAATATTACTCTGAGTCATAAAAACAAAGGAGAAAATAAAATAATTACCAAAAAACTATCCTCACGTTATCTTTGGAATAATATGACTTAAAAAATACCTTGCAAAAATAGACAAAATGACAATAAAAATAAACAGAAACCATGAGTACTTACAATCTTAATGATATGTTTGTGCAAACATGAATGAGATCGTACGATCTTAGCAACGGAGCATGAACCATAATATTCGTTAATGTCAACAGTACTTTACGATGCATCCATACGTCATGGCGCCATCAGTCCCTTGGCAGGGTACTTCCGGTGATGGCAGCGTGCTGACTGTGAGACGCTCACCTCCACACCTTCTCTAATGCAATCGTAAATAGGCCACCTTACACTCTTCCATTTGCGAGAAATATACGTCTCAATGCCAAAACGACAAGTTAAGGAACCCGCGGTAACTCGTTCACAAACTCAACAATTAAAAATCACGGGCTTCAGAGCAGCTGCGGGTGAGGACAACAGGAACGCCGTTCTGCCAGGTGCAATGCCTCCACCGCAAGCTGAAAGTGATGAGCAAGATAATGCAACGGAGAATGCTGTCTTGAAAGCTTTAAGAGATCTTAAAGAGGATTTTACAAACTTCTCTCCTAAACTTGAGAGAATCCAAGTCACGGTGGACGACATTCGTAACGAGCTGGGACAATGCAGTGAACGCATCACACAGGCTGAGTCCCGAATATCAACAGTGGAGGACGAGGTGACAGTGCTCAGGGAAAAAGTTTCCACCCTGGAGAGGCACAATAAAACACTGTCGGACGCAGTTACGGATCTGGAGGCGCGATCACGCCGCTCCAATTTGAGACTCGTGGGCCTCCCTGAAGGCGCAGAAGGACCTGATCCATGTTCTTTTTTGGAGAAGTGGATCCCGGAGACGCTGCAGTTGAAATCCCCGGGGAACAAGATTATCCTGGAGAGAGCGCACCGTGTGGGACAAAGGCGGGATCCCGCGGCACCGCCGAGAGCTTTAATCATGAAATTTCTGAATGATCGAGAGAAGTCCACGGTGGTGCAAGCATCAAGAGGAAAAGACATCCTCTACCAGGGCAGTCGGATTCGCTTCTATCCGGACCTGGCTGCAGGTATCCTAAAGCAACGCAAACTGTTTGACACAGTACGACAGACACTCCGCGAAATGGGCATCAGACATGGCATACTCGTCCCAGCGCGACTCGTGGTGACCTACAGAGAAAAAACTCACACGTTTGCATCCCATGTAGACGCAGAACGCTTTGCTAGGAACATCCAAGAGGAAAACTCCAAGAGTCGGGGGCCATAGGACCTATAGAGTGAGTAGTTATATGATTTAGTGAAGAGTGTACTCTAGTTTTGATCATGATTATGAGTTTGAACAAAAATCTAGCTTTGCTGTGTGAAATCAAGGGATAACCGAATTAACTGATTAAATGAGTTCTTCCTAGATTGAATGATTGAGGAACATTAAATTAGCTGAGTGTACAGCATTTTTTTTTTTTGTTAGGCATGTCCCCCCCTCCCCCCCAATAAATAAACTCCCCTGAAATATATATAAGTTTGGTACTATCTCGATCTAAAAAAAAAAAAAAAAAGGGGGGGGGGGGTGTGAAAACGGTGACATGCTCATTCAGGATAATGGAGATTATATTTTGGCCTTTGCAACAAGAGTGGAGGTTATGTCAGATCTCATAGTAAGAACAATCGGCATAGCAAGGCTGCCCCTGATAAAGGGGTGGCATATCCTTCATATCGGGGTTAGACACAGGATAGGGGGGGTAGCTAAGAAGCTAGGGGTTCACAGGGGGTGGTTGGGGGTAGGTCGATTTGGGGTGGGTGTCTGTGTGTGTGTGTGTGTGTGTGCGTGTGGTTATGTATTTATAAATATATGTTGTTATTATTTCATTTATTTATTTATGTTTTCATTTTTCTCATGTCTCTTGCTCAAAGTTTATTTGACACTTAACTATGTCTAGAGGTTTTGATATAAAACTATCCTCATGGAATTGTAGAGGGCTTCAAAAACCCAAAAAAGTTCGACAAGTATTGCACTTAATTAAAACTATCCAATCAAATATTATTTTCTTGCAAGAAACTCACTTGGCTGCTCAGGATGTGACTAAAATCACCAGAATGTGGAAAGGTAATGTGCTGTCGGCACCCTATACATCACAGTCCAGAGGGGTAATAACTCTGATACACAATTCTATTCCTATTGATATAAAACAAGTTATCAGAGACCCTGCAGGACGATATTTAATAATCCAAATTAACCTGATGAAAGAGCAATTGGTATTGGCTAATATTTATGCACCAAACAATGATGATCCAATTTTTTTCCAAAATTTGTTTCTAACCCTATCTACTCTTAAAGGAAATTATATTATTGGGGGTGATTTTAATTGCACTCTTGATCCAGTTAAGGACAGGAGCTCCGGAGTAGATTTCTCACATATTCGTAGTAGGAAGACTATAAAGCAGTTTATGAGCGAGCTAAACCTTATCGATATTTGGCGTGAAAACAATCCAGATGGGGCACAGTTCTCCTGTTTTTCCGGGAAATATCAATCCTACTCCCGTATAGACTTTTTTCTGATTTCCGCAATTTTAAAAGGTAAAATAAAAGAAACCATCTACAATTCCATTATGATATCAGACCATGCGCCAGTGTCTATTGTTTACCATGATGCAGGAATACAAGTAGACCCACCAAGATGGCGCTTGAATAAGAAGTGGTTAGCCCCACTAAGCAAGCCGACGTTGAATCAACGTAATTTGAACGTCGTTGTCCGACGTAGAATATAGGTCACTGGTGGGTGCAGAATGAAAGTTTTCTCGACGTCGTTTCCCGACGTCACCTCAACCTCCAAATGTTACGTTGATGGCACGTCAATTCAAGGTTTGAATGTGGTACGGAACCGGTCGGGTCTGACGTCCTATCAACGTCTCAAATGACCAAAATATTGACGTTTATATGACGTTCGTTTTCAGTCGTTCCCACTAAGCAAGCAGATGTCAAAACAACGTAATTCCAACGTCATCTGGACGTTCATTCAAGGTTGCAATGTGGTACAGAACCGGTCGGGTCCGACGTCCTCTCGACGTCTTATATGACCAAAATATTGACGTTTATATGACGTCCATTTACAGTCCTATTGACCTCTGTAGAATGACTTAATAGTCGAGACATACTTTTTGCAATAGGCAAGGCAAGTTTATTTGTATAGCACAGTCAAAACAAAAGGAAACTCAAAGCACTGAACAAAAGATAGAAACAATCAAACAAGGCATTACAATTATAAATATTGACAGTAAATTAAAAAGATACAAATAAAATCTCTCAAAAAATCTCTCAGTTGAAGCAGAAACAGAAGTGTTTTAAACCTGGATTTTAACATTGTCAAAGAAGAAGCCTGTCTCACATTTCCAGGAAGACCGTTCCAGATTTTAGCCTTGTGAATCTGAAATGCAGCTATATCATGTTTAGTTCTGACTCTGGGCAATAAACGATAAACACAGCATTCAAAAATCATTAGAACAACTGTAGTAGAAGGATATCAGTCATTATTGCAAATGGAGCTGCATTAAAAATCATGTTTCTCTACATCAAAGTACAAGTTAATCCACACAGGACACAGTATTATGAACACTACTGTACTGAACAGTTCATGCCAAAGTAAAAAAACATGATTGTAGCGCCTATGTTTGGATCAGTATTAAAACAGGCACAAGCTACACTCTAGGTTCCCCAGATGTAAAAACACAATCTGAAAGGCAGAAGAATGCATTTATTGAATGTTGATGTTCCAACATGTGTCCTCTCTTGGTCTTCAGTCTCTCATCACAAGGTCCAAGCACAGCACCTGGAAATGTGGAACATGTTTAGTTTCAACATAATGTGGCAAAGTGATATAACAACACATAACTTTCTATTAATGCCTCAAACCACTCGATCCATCACCATGTGATACAAACCTTGGCACTGCACTAGCTCGAGACACTGGAAGACACTCCGTCTGAGAAACTTGGGATAAGGCTTTGGTCATTGGAGTAATTCCATGTAAAAAAACAATTGCAAATGTGCATTTGTTTTGCACATGGACACAAATGAGCCCTGAAAGCTACTTACCCTGTATTACTCTACACATGTCGCATTTCCGAGCGGGCATTTTCCCCTTGTTGCTCTTTTCCCTCATCATGAGTGAGTTGCTGAACAATCTGAGAAAAAGATAGATGTTTTCAAAGAGAATACACCAAATAATGGTTTATTCTAAAAACAACATATTAATACAGAACAACAATCAATGTGTGAGAGTGTGATTCTTACCTTTGAACACCTTCAACACAGTCTGACACCTGTAAGACTCAAACACACATGACACATTAGGAATACACATAGAACATTAGTTATTGCAACAATCATGAAATTATACTCTATGGATTTCACAAAAAATTGACTGCATTAGCAAAGGTAAATGTATTTTAATTATCATATGGCTGGTTTTAATGTTTATAAGAAAAAGTAAGAAATTGAATAGAGTTGCAAGCGCTAGTTAGCTTGCTACCAGCAGATGAATGGATATTTAATATTTGCAGCTAACAATAACAAAAATAACGACTGTAGTGGCTCATTTGAACAGCCACAGTGAGAAGAAGTGAAAGTCTCTGACATTGAAGACCTGGGAAGACATTAAATCCATTTATTAAACAAAGCAATACATGAACATTAAACTCTCTTTCTGCAGCAGGTAACATCTGTGTGCTCCTATGGTCCCTATGGTCCCACATGGTCCCACACCTGAACTCAACTCCAACTGATGACATCACAGGTGTCTAAATGATGGGAGTGTCCCAAATATTAAAGCTGATCTCCCTGTTTTTAAACTTAGTTTACTAAATACTGTTGTCTTTTTGCAGTTTATAAACCATTGTGAAATATACAGTAACTTTACATTTTAGAATTGAATTATTATTTTAAAACTCAAGAATCTTAACCTTTTTTAACACATAGTTTGTTGGACAGTCTAACCTAAGAATTCTAATGTGTTAAAAATAGTTTGAAATATGAAAAACAATATCATATTTTAAACTTTAACTTAAAAACAAAAAATCATAGGAAAAAGATAACAGATAAGTAATTCCAGATTAAAAGAAGCCGTGCAGATTTGTACATTAGAATAAAAAATATTCAAAAGCAGCTGAGAACAGGTGGGTCTTTAACCTGGATGTAAACAAACTGAGTGTTTCAGCTGATCTGAGGCTTTCTGGGAGTTTGTTCCAGACATGTGGAGCATAGAAGCTGAATGCAGCTTCTCCGTGTCTGGTTCTGACTCTGGACTCGGATCCAGATGACATGAGGGGTTCTGGTTGGTTCATAAGTTATGAACAAGGCACTCAAACAACACTTTTGCACATGTTCGTTAAGGCACAGCAAACAGTGACAATCTTATCTAAAGGCATTAGGTTTTCACCCTCACATTTGAGAAGCATATGCACAGGTACAGTTGAATGTAAGAATTTGAATTTGTTGCGCACAACACCAATCACCCTCTCAACGTGAATTCTGAGATGGAAGGTCTAATCTGAGGCGCATTACAGTCAATAGGACAAGCTGGAAGGGTGAGAGCTTCCTCATCCTTCCTTGAGGCAGCTGCTGGGCCGGCGATGGGGGCTGCTGGGCTTGGGCTGGTGATGGAGGCTGCTGGGCTTGGGCTGGTGATGGAGGCTGCTGGGCTTGGGCTGGTGATGGAGGCTGCTGGGCTTGGGCTGGTGATGGAGGCTGCTGGGCTTGGGCTGGTGATGGAGGCTGCTGGGCTTGGGCTGGGAGTGATGACTGCTCCAGATGCTGGGTACTGCGCTTTACTTGCCGCTGATATCGCGCTCCATCTGTTTCTTTAACATTATTGTGGCCTAACCGCAAGGATGGTGTCCAGTCAGGGTGATTCTCCAACATCTCATATGATGGTTTACCTAGAACAGAATAATGTATGTAGTCAATGCTTTAAACTGGCAACAAGGTAGCATAATGTCATGAACAGAATCTCAACTATTTTTAGCAATCTCATATAATGGTTTACTTACATCAGATTAATAAGATTATTAAACAATCTGGAATCTAAAGAAATATTAAACAAGAAGGTAACGCTATTCATGGTTTCATAAAAGGGCTCAGGGGGTAGACAATTTAGAGAGTTTGACAGACCCCAAAAAACAGACCAAAATTTAGCTAATATCCAATTATGCAGACTTTACATATTAAAAAAGGTGTCTGCTTACCTTATTCTTGTCAAACCGGTTCCAAGGACTGTCCGAGAGGTCTGCCAACTCTTTTCCGCGTCGGAATATTCAATTTAAAAAACAAAACAGAGAAAGTGAGGGAGCAAGAGCAAGCCCAATCCAAAAGCGAGCCCTTTCAGCGTCCGCTGGGATTTCTCCCCTTCCAGATAACGTGCTGTTGCTCCCACACGCCGAAAAAAAGAAACAGAGAAAACTCCCTCAAAACAATCCAGAGAATGGCACAAACCGAGCCGCGCATTCTCCACCAAATCTGTTAGGATTTAGGCAGAGAGAGACGGATCGTGGTGTGCCAAACTCTGGAAGTTTATTTAAGTTTCTCTCAAGTTCCACTGGTTTACTCTGTTTCTTTTCCTCAGACAGAATAAAGGCAGTACACAGTTTATATAGTCATTGTCACGTCACACATCGAAAGACATACGTGTCACAAAGAGACAGTCAAATCATAGTCATAACATGGAGTCCTTGTAGAGTCCTTGTACAGTCCTGCACGTAGGCCATATTGCTATCTAATACTAACAATATACAAAATATACTTAACAAAATCCACGTATACGTGAGAAAACAACTTACTTTCTGTCTCCAACTCTTTTCAATGTGGAAATGATACATCTATATCTAAAAACTGTGCAGACTGTGTACTTACTAGAGAGGGTGATTCCAAGTAAATAAAGCAGGGCAGCGACAGAGGTACAGATTCAACGTCATATCAACGTCTGGGAAGGCATTACGTCCAGATGCACACCTTACGTCGTTTAGACGTGGAAAACAGGTCCTCGACCGAGCGACTCACGTGTCAGGCTGTAAAGCCGTTATACTCGCGCGGCGCATAAGTGTGCGTCGGTTGTTTAGGGTGTTATGTATTATTTTGTCACAGTAGTCTGGATAAATGCCTGGCCGTGGTGTAGCGGTTGCGTAATGAGACTTCAGTCCCAACGACGCAGGTTCAAATCCCCGTCGGAAAACTTTTGACTTTTTACTTTTTAGCGAACAATTTTTATGTTTGGTTAAAAACGAATAAACACTCAACATAAGATTATGTAGTGGCTAATAATAAAACTTGTGAACCCATGCATTTGCATACAATCTCAAGTGCTCACCCCTTATTTGCAAACTTGAGATTGTTAGCACAACAAATGCATACATTCACAAGTTTTATTATTAGCCACTACGTAATCCTATGTTGAGTGTTTATTAGTCTTTAACCAAACAGAAAAAAATTGTTCGTTAAAAATCAACACAAATATGTAAAGATAATAATACACACACGTGGGCTCGAACTCACGTAACCAAGGCTGCACACATTTGCTTAACCACTACACTACCGTTAGGTACACTGAGATCACTTCACAACCTATATATTCTATTGCTAGATCAAGACGTACTGCGTCGGTCAGCCGATGACCTGTTTTCGACGTCTAAGGGAGGTCGGGATTGAACGTCATATCCACGTTTATGGGAGGTCATTGTTTTACGTCCAGATGCGCACCTTGCACAGACGTCGTTTGGACGTAAATAAAAGGTCACGACCGACCGACGCGATATTGACGTGATCTGGAGGTTGAGTGGACGTCGGATGTTTAGTGGGTGGGTTTGAATCCCGGCCAGAACAGGATCTCTCTAAGTGGAGTTTGCGTAGGTTTCCTCCGGGTGCTCCGGTTTCCCCTACCACTAAAAACATGTACGATTTGTAAAATTCTCCTGTAGACCTGACCAAGCAGGTCAAGAGATGGCTTCCATGGCCCTGTTACTATGGCGACCACTGCTCCTGACAGACGCCTTCGTGGCAGGTTGGGGTTTGGGTTTGGGGGCTAGGGTTAAGGTTAGGGCTAGATTTTGGGGTTAGGGTTTTAGGGATTAGGTCGAATGCAGAGTATTTACATGTATCTTACCTTTAAAATAGTTCAGTAAAAAGCTACCAACAGTTACAGCAGAATCCTCAACTACCTGTTGACGATGCTCAAGGTTAATAAAAAAGAGTCTTTGCTAAAAAACCTGGGAACTGCCCTTGGATCCATCTCCCGGCGCATGACTGCACAAACGCACATTATAATTTGTGGGCTGCAAGTTATGGTCCACTTAAACAAGCGCGGCGAGAGTGAGTCAGCCCGGACCCGGTGACAGCCTGAAAAATCGCAGAACAATGGACTGAACAGAACGTACTCTTCCCAAACAATTATATCTGGCTCCGCGCACGCCACCTGCTCCTCCGACATCACGGCGAGACCGGCGCACCTCTCGCCGACTCAGACCTACGCTGGGAAACTGTGGCGTTCTGTTTTGTTGGTTCTATGGACAGAGGGATGAAAATCACACATCACAGTTTAGTCACGAGGATGGAGGGATCAGCAGCACACGGAGGAGTGCGAATGGAGGGAGTGAGGTTGACAAGGTGAAATCTAAATGTAATCCCCGAGAGATAGATACGTAGATAGATAAAGAGTTAGAGAGTGAGAGACAGAGAGATAGAGACATAGATAGATAAGAGAGAGATGGTAGAGAGCGACGGATAAATAGATAGAGATAGATAGATGATAAAGAGAGAGCTGGATGAGAGAGAGAGGGGGTCCAGGATAGAGGGTCAGAGATGAGAGAGAGAGGGATAGAGAGATGGATGAGAGAGAGAGGAATTGATAGAGAGAGAGAGATAGATGATAGAGAGATGGATGAGAGAGAGAAAAAGAAAGAGAGAGACATACATAGATGATAGAGAGAGATAATGAGATGGATGAGAGAGGGAGAGGGATAGATAGATAGATGATAGAGAGATGGATGAGAGAGAGAGGGTCCTTGATAGAGGGTCATAGATAGATGATGGAGAGAGATAGAAAGAGAGAGACATAGATAGATGAGAGAGAGATGGATAGATAGAGAGATTGAAAGAGAGAGACATAGATAGATGAGAGAGAGATGGATAGATAGAGATTGAAAGAGAGAGACATAGATAGATGAGAGTGAGATGGATAGATAGAGAGAGAGACATAGATAGACAGATAATAGCGAGAGAGAGATAAAGAGAGATTGAAAGATCTATCATCTAAACTTGAATAGGTAAAATCTAAATGTAATCCCCCAGAGAAGATGTAGAGAGAGAGGGATAGAGAGAGAAATAGATGATAGAGAGAGAGGTATAGAGAAATAGATGAGAGAGAGAGGGATAGAGAGAGAAATATATGATAGAGAGAGAGGTATAGAGAAATAGATGAGAGAGAGAGAGAGAGGGATAGAGAGAGAAATATATGATAGAGAGAGGTATAGAGAAATAGATGAGAGAGAGAGAGAGGGATAGAGAGAGAAATATATGATAGAGAGAGGTATAGAGAAATAGATGAGAGAGAGAGAGATACTTTTCTGATCCCTGTAGGTGAAATGCAGAAACATGTTATTCAAACAAACATAAATAACTACATTGTTCTAAAAGTGACATATTAAAACGTCACATGTTGCTCTCAGACAGACCTGTTGTAACGTCTCATGGCCTGAAGCAGAAGCCAAAGACTTTTAAAAGGAACGTTTAGTTATAATTTTTGCATGTGGACTTTAGGGCGGTCTGGGTGTGTCCGACTCAACTCAACTCGGACTCTCTTTCAAACTGGACTTTCTTTCAAACTGGTTTTCTCGACTCGTTTTTAGGGTTGCGGAGATGAACCGGTTTTACGGTAATCGCGATTTTAAAAGCCCGCGGTAGGTTAACCATAAGGATGTTAGATGGCACCGTTTACCGCTGGTCCGGAAAACACTCCTGCGAGGTGCAACGTTAGGTACGGCCCGCAGCACACGGAGCAGCGCAGACTCACCGGTAACTTGAAGCTCCCCCAGAGTTGTATCCACCACAACTTAAGTCAGACGTGTGAGATCACTTTGGGAATCCTAAATATGAGCAAGGTGTAGTTGCCAATATTTCAAACATGATACAACATCTTCAAGATAATCCTTCTTTGCTGTTTGTCCAAGTCAAGGGAAACAACTGCATCCTTGTCAATAAAGTACCAAATGTTCAGAAATAAGCTCAAAAACCACAAATTAATGCAAAGGATTCTGCAAATGTGAAAGTGAAAGTTACCGGTGAAAACACTCGCACTTGTGGGGGGAGACGCTCTTAAAGGGACAGTAGCACGTATCATTCAACTAAACAAATACAGTCATGACACCTGGACTACAGCTATGAAGATGGCTGCTACTACTACTTCAAGACAATTAGGCTATATACATTCCTGAATAAAATCTTTACAATAAAATGGTGCTCTGAGCATTGGGTGGCAGCTCTCATTTCCACCCCCCCGGCCCAGAAAAGGACAAATAAAGGGGTTGAAAATGAATGAATGAATGAATAAAATCATGTGAAATATTACATGATCTTAATTTATCCATTCATTGTTTTCCAGCAAAAATACTCAAAAAACTATCTGAATTCATTTTCTTTCATAATGTCAATAATCGTGATCAATCGTAAAACCGGACTATTTTCGCTCACAATAATTGGGACTCAAAAATTTTGAATCGTGGCAACCCAAGTCGTTCCTTCTATCTCTCCTTAAAAAAAGAAAATGAAACTTTGTACGAGAACAAAAAAAGGTCTGAGGCACAACTGACTTTAAAATAAAAATGTATTTATTGTCTTGGGACTTCGACGCGTTTCGAACGATTAGGTTTTCATCAGGGCAGACAGAGAAGGTCACCTACAGGTGGCCAGGTTTATTATACATGTTTTTAGTGTTAGGGGAAACAGAGAGAACATGCAAACCCCACACAGAAAGGCCTGGAGATACAATCAAACCCAGGACCTTCTTTTTGAAACATAAACGCTGAAATATACACTGGAATATTCTGAACTGAGTGTGTTTTTAGGACGAGAACATCCACGACGTCCTGCAGCTGCTGGTGGCGCTGATGTCCGAACACCCGGCTTCCATGATCCCTGCTTTTGACCAGAGGAACGGAATCAGGTAAATAACTTTTCCCTTCTATAGTCTCCTGTCACTGCTCCGGCCGGAATGTTCTGAACACAAGAGAAGGTTTTATCTCCACTCTTTTGAATGCACTGAGATTAGAATACTTTATGTTTCGATCTTGTTTTGTTCTGCACTTTGAGTTGCCTTGTTTGTGAACTGTCCTATACAAATAAACTTGCCTTGCCTAACTGAAGAAGCTTTCACAGAAAATAGCAAACATGTTTTGGCAAAAATTTAAAAATAACCACCTGTGAGAGAACAGGTCCCTCTACAGTTTGACTCCCTCCCAGTGTGGCTCCTGGAGATAACGATTGCCCACGACTGTTGTCAAGGCTACACTTAAGCTATAGTTTTATAGTTTTAAAATGATGTAGATATAGTTTTAAAACAATTAAAACTATTAAAGACGTAATTAACATGTTGTGGCCAAGCCCCGGTGATCCAAGATGGCGTCCTGTTCAAATGAATGGCTTGTGCTCAGTAGCTCATGGGACTTACATGAGGACCGAGAGATTAGCGAAACTCGCCTATATTCGTCTGGTCCTCCCGGTTCTGCGCAGTGGACAAGCTCCCATGATGCTTTGCGCCAAAAATGCGTGTGTGGCTCTCATGCACGTGCACAGAGGGGCTCGGCCGCGCTTTGACCAATACGAGCTGCTGATCAGAGCGGAGCTAGAGCGGGAGCCAGACGAGCAGAGTTTGTGGCAGTAAAGTGTGGATTTAAAGAAAAGAGGTTAAAAAGGATTTAAGAAGAAAAAAAGTTCAGGATGACAAGGGACACTGAAATCCCCACAAAATCTTACCTTTGTGAAAGCTGTAGGTTCTTTGTCAGGTTCTCTGTCAGCTGAGGTAGAGCTGTTAGGTGTAGCCCATGTGAGTATCACAGCGCCCCCTGTGGCCATGGGTGGGAGAGCTATAAGCTAGCAATACTCTATCCAGTTGTTATTATAGATCAATGGTTGTGGCTCATGCCTATTTCTCAGAAGCGTCGAAAAACAGCTCTGTTGACGACCAAGGTTGCCGCCCCCTGCTGTAGAAACACAAACAACCAGCAGGTTTCTTTAAGAATTAAGATTTTTAAGACCCGCTTTGAAGCAAAGCAAACATTATAATACATGTGGATTCTTGTTTTCATGCAAACATCTCTTTGTCCCCAGTGTTATTTTGAATATTGCTCTGACATTGTCGCGTTCAGAAAACCTCCCAAACCTCAAGCTGTGTCTCCTACTCCAATGGCTTCTCTGTGCTTAAGTATTGTCCAAAACCCCAAACGCCACGCCGAGATATGATTGATGTTGCCATGGAGACTCTTGTGTTGCCAGAGAATACGAAAACAACATCATTTTCTTTCGTTTTTATTCTTCCCTGTTGTGTTTCTCTGAGCGCACGGCTTTGAAGAGAAGAAGAAGACACAGTCAGCATAAATTACAAACTCTGAGGCTTCGCTGTGAGTTTTTTTTCAACCTCTCGCCGTGGAGCCGTGCGCAGGATTCACTCAGAATTACACAATCTCGTTAAGCGTTTTTACCCGACTTGAATAATTAAGATGGAGAGATGCCTTGTTGGTCGCACAGTGGGGATTCAAGTTACAGGACAGGAGGAATGAGGAGCACAATCTGTAGCAAGATGCAGCCAGTGATTTTTTTCAGATGCATTTTTTAAAATATTTTGGAAAAGCCCTAAAAGTAGTCAAGTTATCGTGTGTTTTCAAATAGTAGTGGAATTGACCAGATGCATATGTTCATCCCTAATGAACCAATGGGATGCGTTTACCCCCTTCACCCTCTTCCTGTTTCTCGCGAGTGCGTCCATAAAAGTTATCGGATTTTAAAAAACCTAAAAGGCCTGAACAGAAAATGCCAATTTCACATTTGCCACCCACTCTCCCTGTTGTGACAAAGAAAAGAAAATGCTGGATGTTTGGTTTGGTGGAGAGGCGAGGGGAGGGGGGAGTGGTTTACAGTTGGTGTTACGGTTAAGCTAACATAATCGCTTACTGCACCTTTATTAGAGAAAAAAAAGAAACATAGGGAGGAGGGAGCTGAGCCGAAAGCCAAAGCTCTGGATTTACCGTAAATCTTCGTTCCCTCCCTAACCTCTGGTCGTGAGCTTTGGGTAATGACCGAAAGAACGAGATCGCGGATACCAGCGGTCGAAATGAGCTTCCTCCGCAGAGTGGCATCTCCCTTAGAGATAGAGGAGCTCAGTCACACGGGTGGAGCTCGGAATAGTGCCCCTGCACCTCCATGTCGAGAGGAACCAGTTGAGGTGGCTAGGGCACCTGGATGCCTCCTGGACTGAAGTGTGTGTGGATAGGGAAGTCTGCGCGTCTCTGTTTAGACTGCTGCCCCCGAAACTCGGTAACGGAAGAAAATGGATGGATGGAGTATAAACATATAATAAAGAGGGTCTAAGGACAGTAATGATCCAGGACATTTATCAACATCTCCGGACAGTGAACATCCTGCACCCTATGAACCAATGATGTGTTTGATTTTCTGATCTGTCGTTGGGGAATCGGCAGCTTTGTGAAGTCCTCCGAGATGACTGGATTTTGACTGGAACAAAGGATTTAATATTTTGTCTTTTTAATGCATTGTGGTTATTCATTATCTTAATCCCATGTGTGTTTTTTTATGTTTTTAATTACTTGTGGTTTTATTCTGTTTTTATTATTTCTTGTGTTTTTTATGTATATGTAGATTTTAATGTTCATGATTTGGTTGATATGATGTGGGCCACTTTGTGTTGCCTTGTGTAGGAAAGGTGCTGTTGTGATTTAGGGCTGTACAAAAATACATTGAATTGAGGATAAACCTGTAAACTCTTGTATATACAGAATACTGATAAAGTTTAGACGACCATGTTGATTGTATTTAAGTTCAAAAGTCCAAAGTACGGTATTGGTTAAACATAAAAACCCACTTCCTGTGTTAAAATCAGTAACTTGTCTGATTGTCTTTTGTCTGTAACAAAATCAATCAATATTTATTAGTAGAGTAAAATCATCACAATCTGCTAATTTATCTCTGAGGGTTCAAATATTCACAGTGATAAATCTACTGCACTTGTTAGCATCATATTAGCATCACGTTAGCATCATGTTAGCATCATGTTAGCTTCACGAGGCCCTAGGCTAACAGGTAAACAAGTGACAGTGGACACATGTGGCCCCATATTGCACATTCTGACACTATTGCACACTAAGATAAGATAGACTTTATTGATAAGATAAATACAATAAGATAAGATAAACGTTATTGATCTCACACTCACAAAAGACCGAAGTGTGTGACATGTTAAAGGTTAAAAATATGGTCTGTGCAGGATATAATTATTTACAATAAAATAAAAGAGTGGCAATGGCAGTACAGGTTTTTCAGTTCTAGTGCATTAGTGCCTAAAGTGACTTATTGTACAGTCTGACAGCAGTGGGGATAAAGGCACGAATGCACGGGTGCACAATGGTAACCTTGTTTTATTGACGTACTTGTCTGCTGCACTCTTGGGACTCCCGTGAATGTATTCCAATGTAGTTTTATTGCAAATCTGAATCTGAAGATACATACAAATGTTTTCGTTTTTTTCCGTAGGGTGATCTGCAAACTGCTGGCTTCGAAGAGCGAGAGTATCCGAGTACAAGCCCTGAAGGTCCTGGGATACTTCCTCAAGCATCTGGGACACAAGTCAGTATTTATGTGTTTTTTTTATTTCATCCAAATAAAGCAAGAGTTTGGTTTTTTCATAGTTTAAAGGGCACTTTTTAGGCAGGTTACAGCATTGTTCCCTCAAACAAACCTGGAGTTGTATATTCTACTTCCACTGCTTTTACTACTCTGCTCTGCTCTACTCTACTTTACTCTACTCTACACTACTCCACTCTATTCTACTCTACTCTACTCTAGTCTGCTCTGCTCTACTCTACTCTAATCTACTCTACCGCAATTGGGAGTGTGCTTCTCTGGTCCTTTGTAACCAGAACCAGGTCCTTCTTTAGTCCCTCTTGGTCCTGGTTCGATCTAGGCCGAGCTGGTACTAAAGTGTTCCAACTGGCAGAGATTGGTCGTAGTGCCTTTGGAAGCAGCTCTGTTCTACAATTCATGCACATTGCTCTCTCTATGGACCAATTCCTCTGTTCTATATTTCATTGTGTTTGATTCCCTGATCTGGTTATTTCAACCGTTTTGTTAAGTCCTCTGAGAAAACTACTGTTGTGATTTAGGCCGATACAACCAAGGAATTTCCTCAGATACTGGTTTGTTGTGGGTAGATTGCTAGGATACAATACCAGATACTAAAGCGTAATGAAAACACCAGTAAGATAAGATAAACCCTGGAGTAGAGTAGAAAATAGTAGTCGCTCTCTCTCACTCTCTCTCCTTCTTTCTCTCTCTTTCCTCTCTCTCTCTCTCTCCTCTCTCTCTCTCTGTCTCTCTCTCTCCTCTCTCTCTCTCTTCCCACCTCTCTCTCCTCTCTTTCTATCTCCCAATCTCCCTCTCTCTCTCTCTTTCTTTCTCTCTCCTCTCTCACTCTCTCTCCCTCTCTCTCCCTCTCTCTCCTTCTCTCTCTCTCTCTCGGCTGCAACATCGAGCAGAACTGAAGTTAATGAAAGCAGATCCTGACGGTTCAGCGGCTCACCTGCAGAACAGCATTATGCAAACCTTTGATTAGATCCACTCATTTATTCATGTTCATTTCAATATTAGGAGGAGATTCAAATATACAGAGCGAGGACGAAGTACCGTAAACTTTCTTCTGTGGTGAATGAGCGCGCCTGGTTATTTCCCACTAAATTTAAAATGAAGGTATTAATAATGCACCGGTTTTCCAAACACCAGGGGTCTCCAACAAGAGCTGTAGATCCAGAACTGAGGCTGTACATCCAGGACTGAGGCTGTAGATCCAGGACTGAAGCTGTAGATCCAGGACTGAGGCTGTAGATCCAGGACTGAGGCTGTAGATCCAGGACTGAAGCTGTAGATCCAGGACTGAAGCTGTAGATCCAGGACTGAAGCTGTAGATCCAGGACTGAAGCTGTAGATCCAGGACTGAGGCTGTAGATCCCGGACTGAAGCTGTAGATCCAGGACTGAGGCTGTAGATCCAGGACTGAAGCTGTAGATCCAGGACTGAGGCTGTAGATCCCGGACTGAAGCTGTAGATCCAGGACTGAGGCTGTAGATCCAGGACTGAAGCTGTAGATCCAGGACTGAGGCTGTAGATCCAGGACTGAGGCTATAGATCCAGGACTGAGACTTTAGATCCAGGACTGAGGCTATAGATCCAGGACTGAGGCTATAGATCCAGGACTGAGGCTGTAGATCCAGGACTGAGGCTATAGATCCAGGACTGAGGCTGTAGATCCAGGACTGAGGCTATAGTTCCAGGACTGAGGCTGTAGATCCAGGACTGAGGCTATAGTTCCAGGACTGAGGCTGTAGATCCAGGACTGTGTTTGTAGACCCAGGACTGAGGCTGTACACAGGGGTCTCCAATGAGGTCTCCCATCACAGTCCTAACCAGGCCCTGCTCTGCTTAGCTTCAGAGGCATGATTGGATCTGGGTTCACAGGCAGGTGTGGCCACATAGCAGTGGAATTCAAGCCACAGGTTTTGAGGTTGTGGGGTATATTCCACCTTACCGAAACAACATCAAAAGCTCTTATCTACCTATAGGTTAAAACTTACCATTATTTATACAGTATTATGCTTATTATTTGTTGTTTTTATTTTATATTCTACATGTTAATAATGTACTGCTTCACACACACACACTCCCACACACACACACACGCACACACACTCCCACACTGTTGTAACCCTTCAAACATGTGTATCTCTCCACATGTTTTTGTTGTTTGTTGTATGTATGTTATTTTGCAAAAATCAAATAGAGTTTAAAATAAACGAAAGAAAATGAAACGCTAATTTAACACTAATTACATTTTTGGTGCATTTTTTGGTATTTTGCCCCACAGTATGCTAGCCTAACCCTTACCTTACCCTAAACTTCAATCTGGTTGTTTATTTGTATTTTTTATAGGGGTTTTCAGAGTCAGAATTAGCACCACAAGTGAATATTTCTCTCTGTAGTCATTACAATCTGAAGAAATGATAAACTACTCGGTCAATGACTCTTATTGTGGGATTTCTGCCTGATTTTCCGGTTTCACGCAGAGTATGAATGATAGAAACTTCAACTTGTGCTCAAGATGAATAGGAAGCACTCAGAAGCACGAAAACACACTTGCTGCAAGGTTAGCAGTGATTTGCAGCCGCTCAAGGACGTTATGGCGTCTCTCGGCAGATATCAGAAGCTAAGCAGAGCAGGGCCTGGTCATTACTGTGATGGGATTCAGTTTATTTCTGCCTAGCCCTAAATTACAACAGCAGTCGTGTCAGAGGATTGTCAATTGTTGATTCGCCAACAACAGATCAGAGAATCAGACAGTTCTAACACAGGAAATGCTATGTTTAGAGACACATAGGAGACATTGGTTCATAAGGAGGGGGATGGGAAATGTCTTTAAATGTCTTCGATCATTACTGTGCTGAGATCTTCCTGGAGCGGCAACAACAACAAAAACTGTGGGAATAAAGTGAAAAACCTCAGAGAGACCTACTTTGAGAGAGGGATCCGCTCACAACAGGCTTTAGATCCAGGACTGAGGCTGTAGATCCAGGACTGAGGCTGTAGACCCAGGACTGAGGCTGTAGACCCAGGACTGAGGTTGTAGACCCAGGACTGAGGCTGTAGATCCAGGACTGAGACTGTAGATCCAGGACTGAGACTGTAGATCCTGGACTGAGGCTGTAGATCCAGGACTCAGTGCCGAAAACTCAATGATCTCATGTCATCTCGTCTGACATCAGAAGCTAAGCAAAGCAGGGCCTGGTCTACACTGTGATGGGAGACACTGTATTTCAAAAGTAGGACAAGGCTGAGGCGGTAAAGAGCAAATCCCTGGGCAAGACACTTCAATGCTGAGTGTGAATCTATCGAGTGTGAGAAGAAACAACAGCTGTGCTCAATGTCGCTCCCCTCCATCGTGTGTGGAATGAATAAAAATCTGTATATTTTTCTGAGTCTAGCTGTATAAATATAGATTTCTTACTGATGCAATTCATACAGAGCTGACAGTGTAAACAGCTATGCAGAAAAAGTGTTGTTTAACCTTAGAGAATGCTAATCTTACTGCTATGTATTGCGCAGCCTTGTTGCATACAAACCCAAAGTCAATTCCATTACAGTATTGTTCTGGTATGTCATTTGCAAGTGTGACTCCCATCTCCTCTCATGTCAGATTTAAATTTTGATTATTATCTTTGAAACTGCGCAATACTTGTTTACACCACCTTAACAGACAAGGATAGAGTACATGCAGGTTAGAATGGGGTGGGATGAAGCAAGTTTGATACCAAGTTTGATACCAATTTGTTCTGATGGTGTTAGGGTCGTGCCATAACCATAGACTGTATACCATGAAAGGGGTAGAGATGGTGTTGCTAAGGTGGTTGCTAAGGAAAGCTGGAGTTCCCCCTGCGAATAAAGTCAAATATGCAGATAGATTGCTCCTGATTGCTCTGTCATTTTGGCTCATATCTGGTTTTAAAAACACAATATCACAATAAAAACACCGGGATCAAAGCAAATGCTAAACCACAGATTTTTAAAGCCCAAAATGGTGAATTTGACACAAACAGTTACTGAGCTAGAGCGAGTAGGAGCAAAAACTTTGTCCTTTCCCTATAGGGCCTCAGTGAGCTAGGCTGTTAGCATTATCCATCTATATACAGTGTGTGTTCTGTGCCAGGGCAACTGTGGCTAACGTATTAGCTTTCCACCACAGTGAATGCCATAAAAAAGCTCTATGTAAATTTAATTAATTAAAAAATATTATAATTTTGTATCTGGCATTTAAAATGATAAAAAACAAATCAGTCCAAAACCATTCCTATTAGCAGCTCGTTAGTGCTGCTCAATAAGCGTTGCAATAAAACTAATTACTACTACAGCTGTTTTTGTGTGGCTCTCAAGTGTTTACCATCGGAGCGGACTAATCAGGCTGACAGGGAAGAGCCGGTCCTCGTAGTAACAGAGAAGCTTTAGGGGGGAGTTTTGACCACTGTCCCCTGTGGCAGGAACCTTAAGCTTCAGGATGGGGGGACGGATTAGGCAAGCGCACCTGAGCCCCCTGCATTCAGTCCCCCACTCAGAGAACATCTGCTGCCGGCTAACGTCCTGGAGAGCTGTCTCTTTGAATATGTTTAGTGGATAGAGTGAATTAGCGCAGGCCTTAATGTGAGAAATGATGGCCGGTGTTTGAAACCAAAGCAAACCTAAAGCAAAACCCCCAGAGGAGTTAGAAAAAATGCTAATATTGTAGGGTTTGAAGGGACGATGGATGCTAATTTATTCAGGCACCAGATTTGGTTCAGAAATTTTATGCAAAACTATGGGCTGTATATTAGGAGTGGACAGACCGAGCACTGACGTCACCATAGTGTTAGCCTTAATGCGGAAGATACCGATGTGGACATAAGCTAGCTGGAGCCACTTTCCTTATATGGGCATTTGTTCTGATGGTGTTAGGGTCGCGCCATAACCATAGACTGTATACCATGAAAGGGGTAGAGATGGTGTTGCTAAGGTGGTTGCTAAGGAAAGCTGGAGTTCCTCCTGCGAATAAATGCATCTAATTGGTCAATAATAAGCTTGAGATTCCCTGTTGCGATCCAGTGAGCTAGCAGGTTAGCATTGTCCATCTATATACAGTCTATTGTGTGAAACAGACATAAGCTGAAGCCCTGAAATTTTACAAGGATTTCTAATCATATCAGAAGGACATAAAAGATAAAAATGTACTAAAATGTAGAGAAATATTTATGTGAAGCTTAGTTTCTGGATCTACAGGGTTAAATCTACTTCAACTAACTTTCTGCATGTGATAGCGCTGTGTAAACATTTTTGATCAAATTGAAAGCAATCACTTGCTATCTTCCTCTGTGTCCTCCATCTTTGCGTTACAAATAAAAGTCATAATCCGTGTGTTTTTTTAATGTTGCAGGAGGAAGGTGGAGATCATGCACACCCACAGCCTCTTCACTCTGCTGGGGGAGCGCCTCATGATGCACACCAACACCGTGTCCATCACCACCTACAACACGCTATACGAGGTACCACTGGCGCCCCAGCAGGTTTCCATGGAGACCACGGGGGGGGGTTGGAGATGACATAATTAAAGTGGCCGTCAAGCTTTGGAAATAGGCTTAATTACGGCTGTGTGTTGTCTGTCTTTGCAGAGAATAGACTTATCAGCGAGAGTCATGTGGGAATAGGGAGCGTTACTGCAGTGGTATTTTTATGTTTTATTTTACTGTCTTAGGATATTTGTCGACATATTTGGCGGTCCGAAATATTAGACAAACTGACGCAGTCCCATGCCACAAATATTGATAATCGAACGATTAACACAACATTTTCAAGATATATTTTGAAAGAGAAGAAGTCGTGACAAAATGGTCAAAAGCATGTTTTGTCAATACATTTATATCTTAGTTATACATGTAGGTTATACAGTATTCTGGTATCTATGTTCTCCAGCCTTTGTTGTAGCTATTATATACATACTACAAAAGGGAGTAGCCCTCTGCGTCTTCTGTTGTATGCCCCTGCTGGTCCCAGAGTCAGGATTAAACATGGAGTGGCAGCGTTTCAGATTTCTGCAGTAAAAATTGCCGGGTTGAAAATTGCCAAGCAGTTCTACTTCATAGTGCTACGCCCCTTAGGCTCGCTTTGGGTATGACTCCAGAAGCACCTAGCTTCCCGCCAGAGAGAACTCAATGCTCCAATCACTGTGCAGAACCTCCTATAAATAGCCCACAGCAGTCCATGCTCTCCACTTTGAACTCTGGCGCCATTGAGAGAAGTTCTACTCACCATTGAAGATCGCGATGTCTACTCCTCCTCGTCCGAGAACTCCTTCGCCATCCGGCGTCGGACGAAGACGGTGCGGTGGCTGCCGGACCAAGCTCCACCGCAAAGACCGGCACGAGTTCTGCTTCCTCTGCCTGGGAGCTCACCACCACCGGGAAGCGGCGACGTGTGCGGCGTGCCTTTCTCTCCCCGGGGAGGAGAGAGAGCGCCGCGTTGCTTATGCCACCTCCGCGGAGGCTCGCCCGGGTCCCTCCCAGGAGGAGGAACCTGAGGTTGAGTATGTCCCGCTCGACCTGCCTCCTGCACCCAGGGAGTGGGGAGACTGTGTTGTGGAGGAAGAGTTTGACGAGGACCGGGGTTCCTACGTCACTCTCGACGAGGCTATTTCCTTGTGCGAGGAACAAGACCCCTTCCCTCTGGACCACATGCCCCGCCTCTTCGCCACGGCAGCGGCCACCATGGAGACCCCCCTGCCTCCGCAACCCACCCAGAGAGAGAGCGACTTCACGTCGGTGGGTTCATCGCTTCCAGGGAAGAAGAGACGAGCTCCAACACTGTGTCCGCGGATGGATCCGGTTTTCCATTACGCGGCACGTGATTGGGCCAAACCCCTAGCAGCTAAGAAGCCTGCTCTGGGTTACGGCGCCTATTGCTCGGTCCAAGACTGGTCCTGGTCCAAAGGGGTCCCGGAAGTGGAGGACGCTGTCCGGCTCGCACTACTCCCGCAGTCCTCGGTGTGGCCCGGCAGCAGACCTCTCCTTCCCTCGGAGCGGGATAGGATGAGCATGGCTGTACTGGATAGATGCTACGCTAACGCAGCACAGGTCGTTGCGTTAGCTAGCAATATGGCTCTTCTCACCGGGGCCCTCGATAGGTCTCTATCCACGGGTCAAGCTCTCACCGACGAGGACCTGGACCGGGCCAGAACCACCACGGCGGCCATACTCCGTATGATCCAGGCGCTGGCTATTGACGGTGGGCGATCCATGGCGTCCGCACAGGTCGGTGCTCGCCATCTGTGGCTGGGGCTCGCGGACATCAAGGAGACGGAGAAGAGGCAGCTCCTGGACCTCCCTATCTCCATGGATTCCCTCTTCGGTCCAGACATGAAGGGGCTCGTCGCGAGACTGGACTGGACGACTGGACGCTCGTCGCGAGACTCCGCCATGCTGGCTCCTCATCTGCTCCCTCGCCGTGTGTCACAGCAGCAGCAGCAGCAGCAGCAGCAGCAACAACAACAGCAGCAGCCTTATCGCGGCAGAGAGAGAGTGAGAGACCGGTCACCTCGGCGACGCTCAGCTCCGCCCCCTCTTGCTCCTTGCCCGGGCCGCTACACTCCGCAGAGACCACGGGGTTCAGAGCCTTACTCCGGTGGTTTCCGTGACCAACGCTCCCACCGCCGCCCTCCCTACAGTCGGGGAGTTCGGGGGGGTAAAAAGTTTTTCAATACACGACAAGGTGTACCGTATTCTCGGTCTGAGCATCATCTTTTTGCCATGCATGGTTTGTCATCTCAGGTAGAGGGCAGCATTGCATCACACACAGGTCTATCACCTTTGGTTACGTTGAGTCCACAGCGGCCGCATCCCTCCATACCACTTCCCACAGCGGCCAGTGTAGTGTCTGCTGGGTCAGGACCAGGTTTTGCGAGCCTCTCTCCCTTTTCTCAGCGTCTCCGGGGTAAATCCAGCACTTCATTCCCCAGGGGTGGTAATGAAAGCCTAGGTCAGGTTTTTCCCTCCGTCTCCGGGGTTCCCTCTGTTAGTGGTGTTACGCATACAGAGCAGGACGCTCCCACACACGTCTGCCCTTCAGCTCAGGCTGCTGTCATTTCATCCTCTGGGCGGGGAGTGAAACGCAGATTACCGCTGTCTATAAGTGAGTCAGGGGGCCTGGTCCCAACCTCCTCACACAGCACATCTCATGAGGTGTTTTCGGCCCTTTCGATGCCCCCCCCTCTCCGCTGGGAGCGCAGGGAGAGTGGGGGGCTATTACACCAGGTGCTCCGGGTCCTCTCCTTCCCCTCACAGAGCAGTTTCGGGTCTGGGAAGAGCTCGGTCTACTGTCAGACCCCTGGTTAAAGAAAACGATGCGCAGGGGCTACGCTCTGCAGTTCGCACGGAGACCACCGCCGTTCCAGGGCATTCGTGCGGTGCGCCCTACAGATCGGGAGACAGAAGAGGCGCTCCAAATGGAGGTCGCCTCCCTGTTACGCAGAGGCGCCGCGGTCCTGGTGGACCCTCGGGACGCCTCCAGAGGCCTGTACTCCCCGTATTTCCTGGTCCCCAAGAAATCAGGGGGGGTGCGCCCTATATTGGATCTGCGCACTCTGAACCAGTGCATTTCCAAACGGCCCTTTCGGATGCTTTCCACAAAACATCTGTTAGAGTGCGTCAGGCCCGGGGACTGGATGTCAACCATAGACCTGACGGACGCTTACTTCCACGTTGCCATAGTACCGGAGCACAGACGCTTCCTGCGCTTCACCGTGGGAGGGAAGTGTTACGAGTACTGTCGCCTCCCCTTCGGTTACGCTCTGGCCCCACGCACCTTCTCCAAGTGCGTGGAGGCGGCGCTGGAACCACTCAGACGCGCAGGGATCAGAATCCTGACTTATATATACGACTGGCTGATTCTGGCCCCGTCTCTGGAGCAGGCCACCATTCACACGCACTGGGTCCTGTCACACGTGCAGCGCCTAGGCTTTGTGGTGAACAGGGAAAAGAGCAATCTGCAACCCGCACAGCGCTTAGTCTATCTAGGTCTACAGCTAGACTCGGTGGAGTTTCAGCGCTCTCCCAGGACAGACGCTCGAGCATCACGCGTCTAGCTCAGGAAGCGCTGACCTCTCCCACAGTGACCGCCCGACGAATACGGTCTCTATTGGGGATGATGGCATCAGCTCATGCAGTGGTGCGGCTAGGTCTCCTTCACTTGAGACGTTTCCAGAGGTGGTTCTCCCGTCTCCGACTACATCCCACAAGAGACGGGGGCAGAAGGCTCATTGTTCCTCCAGGAGTGGCCGAGGACCTGAGCTACTGGCTCACGCCCGGTCTGATGCTGGAAGGAGTTCCCCTGGTCGGTGCCGTGGCACACGTGGAGGTGTTCACGGACGCGTCTCTGGAGGGATGGGGGGGGGTTCTGCACCAGAGCTCTGTGGGGGGCGCCTGGTCAGGCCCTCTTCGTCACATCAATCTGCTGGAGATGGAGGCGGTTCACAGGGTGCTTCTGCATTTCGCTCCACAACTAGCGGGGAGACACGTGATGGTGCGCTCAGACAACACCACAGTGGTGGCGTATCTGAACCGGCAGGGGGGCACGAGGTCCCCAGCCCTCCACCGACTGGCAGCGACCATTCTGATCTGGGCTGCAGGGCATCTGCAGTCTCTGAGAGCGCGTCATGTTCCGGGAGACAGGAACACAGGGGCGGACATAATGTCACGGGGAGGCCCTCTCGAGGACGAGTGGGGCCTCGACCCGCAGATGGCAGCGGAGGTCTGGCAGAGGTTGGGTCGGCCTGTGGTCGACCTGTTCGCCAGTGCAGACAACGCGCAATGCCCGCTCTGGTTCGCACTGAGACCCACGGACAATCCGCCTCTAGGGGTGGATGCCTTGGCTCATTATCCGTGGCCAGGGGGCCTGTTGTACGCCTTCCCCCCCCCCTCGTCTCCTACCGATCCTACTGAGGAGGATCGAGCAGGAAGAGCGGGAGATAATCCTGGTCGCCCCAGACCGACCACAGGCCCGTTGGTTCCCGTTCCTGACCAACATGTCTGTGATGGACCCGTGGCCTCTCCCGGACGTGCCAGGGGGCCTGGTCCAGGGAGGGGGGACGCTTCGCTCCCGCCCAGTCCTGGGCCACAGGCTCTGGGTTTGGAGGCTGAGAGGCAGAACCTAGTCCGACTAGGCCTCCCCCGGGCGGTGGTGGATACCATCCAAGGGGCGAGGGCACCTTCCACCGTGAGGGCTTACGGGTGCCGGTGGAAGCTTTTCAAAGACTGGTGCGCGGCCCACTCGTGGGACCCCAGGTCTTGCCCTCTAGAGGGCGTCCTGGGCTTCCTGCAGGACCTTTTGGATAAGGGCAGGGCCGCTAGTACCTTGGCTGTGTCCGCTTCGGCCATTGCCTCTGGTCACAAGGGTTCGGGGGGTTTTCAGCCCGCTCCCACCCGTTAATCAAACGCTTCCTTCGGGGGGCCTACAGGAAGAGGCCGGTCCTTAGACGAACACCTCCGATCTGGGACCTCAAGGTGGTTTTGAAAGGGCTGTCAGGGCCTCCTTTCGAACCCCTGACCCGTGCCAGCCCAGAATGCGTGGCCTTCAAGACCGCACTCTTATTGGCTCTGGTATCAACCAAGAGGGCGGGAGAACTGTGCGCTCTTTCCATCAGCCCGGCCTGCCTGTCCTTTGGTCCGGGGGATGGGTTGGTGGAGTTGTGGCCCAACCCGGCCTTTCTCCCCAAGGTCGTTTCCTCAACCTTCAGGTCCAGGGTCATACGGATCAGACCTTTTCATCCTCCGCCTCACGCCTCGCAGGAGGATGAGCAAAGACACCTGTTGTGCCCTGTCAGGATGCTGAGGCATTACCTGGAGGTCACGTCCTCTTTCAGGCGCACGGATCAGCTGTTCGTGTGCTTGGGGCCTAAAAACAGAGGCGCCCCGTTATCCTCCCAGCGGCTGGCGCACTGGGTGTCCCGGGCGATTCGCTCGGCGTATCAGGCCCAGGGGATGGTGCCCCCGGTGGGGTTCCGAGCGCACTCCACTCGGGGCGTGGCGGCCTCCACAGCTCTGCTACGAGGGGCCTCGGTGGAGGAGGTATGCCAGGCTGCGTCCTGGGCTTCGTCTTCCACCTTTGCTCTGTCTTACCTGGTGGATGTTTCAGAGCGGTCTATTGCTCACTCCATCCTGAGCTCTGGGACTGATGCGACCGTCCTTGATAGGAGCGGCCCCATCACTGCTCATTCCCTGTCTGTCTTGAGTTCCCACACCTTGGAGGTGTTAGGGCCTACTCGGCAGGGCTCCAATCACTGCTAGCTGGCCTGATGGGAGTACATACTCTTAGGCTACGCTTCGTTACCCAAAGCGAGCCTAAGGGGCGTAGCACTATGAAGTAGAATTGTTAGTTACCTATTGTAACTGTAGTTCTACGAATAGTGCGTAGCCCCTTAGCTACGGGCCCATCAGTCCAACCTGGCTTTGGCGAGTTCAAAGTGAAGAGCATGGACTGCTGTGGGCTATTTATAGGAGGTTCTGCACAGTGATTGGAGCATTGAGTTCTCTCTGGCGGGAAGCTAGGTGCTTCTGGAGTCATACCCAAAGCGAGCCTAAGGGGCTACGCACTATTCGTAGAACTACAGTTACAATAGGTAACTAACAATTATCAGTGTCGGTTATCAGCTACACGTGTCATAGACGAGGAGATTAGAAGTAATAGTAGTAGTAGGAGTAGTAGTAGTAGTAGTAGGAGTAATAGTAGAAGTAGTAGAAGTAGTAGGAGTAGTAGTAGCAGTAGTAGTAGTAGTAGTAGATAATATTTGGTGAAATCATTTAAAGTTGAAGCATCTTTTGCATGATCATATTTACAAATAGAAATCCATATATCTCTAAAGCAGGTCCAAACCAAGGCTCGCGGGCCAATTGTGGCCCTTTGAGTCATTTTATGTGGCCCTGTCTCTTGCTAAAATAAAATATGTTTTCTTTGAGATCAAGTTCAGAGTGTCCTCCAGCCAACTCCACCTCTACCAACATATTCACACTGCCCTTTTTAAATATTATTATCAGTTCTGTATTTAATTTGCATTCTGTTTTCCCTCAGATTCTCACGGAGCAGGTTTGCACGCAGGTGGTCCACAAACCGCACCCTGAGCCCGACTCCACGGTCAAGATCCAAAACCCCAGTGAGTACACCGAGTTCTCTAAAGTGCTACGTCCTCACTTTCCTCTGTCCGCACTGCACTGTTACTTTAATCCAAGGAAATAACAGAACAAAGAAGGTCCTGAAGGTGACGGAGCTGTCGATCTCTGCCTCACTTCTCTCTGACTCATGTTTTTTCATTTATTTGTCTGTATTTAAGGTTAAGGCCCCATTGAAATGGAGCCACTCTTATTCAAGACGCACCAAACACAGTTAGAAATGCATGCAATTGTACATACATATATACGTAAACACACATATATACACACATACGGTATATAGATACACACACATATAGATACACACTTCTTCTTCTTCTACTATATCTCTGTGTATAAACCCGGCAGACTGCACCGCCAGGGTGCGTCACGTCCTGTCCTACGTTTGTTATTCACGCCACTGCCCTGACGTCATATGAAACCCAAGAATATACACACACACACACAAACACAGACACATACTTATACACACACACATACTCATACTCATTCATGTTTTACCAAGTTACATGTCTCCACAAACATAAAAGTATATTGCCATGTAAAAAGGTAGCTCACTCATTTACATTGTTTTGATTTTAAAATGTTCTATGCTAATGTGCTAACGCTAAAGCTAATGTGCTAACGCCCATGCTATTGTGCTAACGCGAATGCTAATGTGCTAACGCTAATGCTAATTCTCATGTCTGCAGTGATCCTGAAGGTCGTGGCCACTCTGCTGAAGAACTCCAGTCCAAGTGCGGAGCTGATGGAAGTGCGGCGACTGTTTCTGTCTGATATGATCAAACTGTTCAGTAACAGCCGCGAAAACAGACGGTGAGGATCCTTTCAACATATTTGATTTACTTTGATGCTGTCTTCTTTTATTTGTTATATTGCATTTTAATCCGTAGCACTTTGCGTTTTTGTGGAAACGTATGGTGCATTATATAACAAATGTATTATTATTATTATTATTATAGAGAACATAACCTAAACAATGTCTTTTCTCAGCTTTTAGCCACGTTGTAGTTAATTTTGGTCAAGGGGCGAAATGTATGAAATCCCAGGTGAAAGAAAGTTTTACATTTGTAGAAATTTTACAAAGCACAATTCATGTATAATTTACTCTAAAGCACAATTCATGCACAAAGCAATTCAAAGAGCTTCACCGGAGCAAGTAGACATTTTCTTTTATATTCCCTTCCCAAAGACTTGCATTAGCACCTGCCCTCCAATACAATGCCATTCAATGTATTCTTGTATTACCCTAAATCCCAACGGTAGATTTCTCAGAGGACTTGACAAAACCGTTGAATTCGCCAACACAGATCAGAGAATTATATCGTTCAAACACTGGAAATGCAATGAGGGAAAACACATAGAGCCATTGGTCCATAAGGAGCAGAGACCAATGTCCATAAATGTTAAAAACGTCCATAAATGTGGAGGAATGCCATGTGTCCTGGATCATCACCACTGTCCATAGCTCCTCCTACATCGGCAAAGAACAACTCTCATACAAAAACCCAGTGGGAAAAAGTTCCAAACCGATTTCAATAACATCAGTCCAATAACACAAACTAGTAACTGGCATTTGCGTTCTCCTCCTCACCACTCCATCTCAGCGGAGTCTTTGCTTCTTGATTGCTTTTCCAATTATCTCCGGCTATAATGATAACTGTTCTAATCTCCTCTCTCTCTCCATGGATGACTCCGCTCAGATGCCTGCTGCAGTGCTCCGTGTGGCAGGACTGGATGTTCTCTCTGGGATACATCAACCCCAAAAACCCAGAGGAGCAGAAGATCACAGAGATGGTCTACAACATCTTCCGGATCCTTCTCTACCACGCCATCAAGTACGAGTGGGGCGGCTGGCGGGTGTGGGTGGATACGCTGTCCATCGCCCACTCCAAGGTAAGACATGAGAGAGATAACAGATGCTATAAACGTCCCACAGCGGAGAAATGTCAATGTTGCAGCGCACATACATGGATTATTTTGGCTGATTTATTTATTTATTTATTTGAATTTAGGACGGTACATATTAACCAATGTGTCTGCACACAGCGTCAACACAAATCTGCTCCCCCAGGGTGACGAGGCTGGCAGGAGGGACCAGGAGCTCTCTGGTCTGCCTCTGGTCTCTCTCGGGTCTCTCTCACTCTGGTCTCTATCTATGGTCTCTCTCAGGTCTCTCTCTCTGGTCTCTCTCTCTGGTCTCTCTCTCTTGTCTCTCTCTATGGTCTCTCTCTGGTCTCTCTCTTTGTTTTCTCTCTGGTCTCTCTCTTTGGTCTCTCTCTCTTGTCTCTCTCTATGGTCTCTCTATGGTCTCTCTATGGTCTCTCTCTGGTTTCTCTCTTTGGCCTCTCTCTGGTCTCTCTGGTCTCTCTCTCTTGTCTCTCTCTCTGGTCTCTCTCTATGGTCTCTCTCTGGTTTCTCTCTTTGGCCTCTCTCTGGTCTCTCTGGTCTCTCTCTCTTGTCTCTCTCTCTGGTCTCTCTCTATGGTCTCTCTCTGGTTTCTCTCTTTGGCCTCTCTCTGGTCTCTCTCTCTGGTCTCTCACTGATCTCTCTCTCTAGTCCCTTTCTTTCTCGTCTGTTTCTGGTTACTCTCTGGACTCTCCTCTGTATTCTCTATCTGGTCTCTCTCAGGTCTCTTTTGGGACTCTCTCTGTACTTTCTCTCTGGTCTCGCTCTCTGATTTCTCTCTGGAGGAGGAACTGAGGGAGCGGCAGGTGTGGACACTTGATTGGCCAGTTAGGGGAGGACGGAAGACAGTGGTGGCCCCTAGGGAGGAGGGGGGAAGGAGAGATGCAAATTTACCCCCTCACCAACATAAGTTTAAAAGATTTTAGCCAATGCTATAGTGACAAGAGTGTATTTAGGTTCGAAGGTAACATGAAAACATATGGACAGTACAGCTCGTACTTCTCTAACCACATCTGAATAAAATCCCCAGTATTTTGGCTGAGCTTAAACCAGATGTCGCATCATTTTTATCGTGTTTAAATGTAAGCGTGTTTTTGTGGACCTCTTGGATTCGCGGCTGCTCTGCTGGATCAGAGGTCAAACTGTTTAAAAACTCCACAGGGAATAGTGAGGATGTAGTTTGTACAGAGATGAACTTCCCCTGAACCAGAGCGGGGTGTGAAACAGGACGAATAGACCCACAATCTGCAGTAACTGACCTCAATGTGAATCTATTAAAGTACATGCAGTATGCGCTAATGTTGGCTAATACGTGTTTTAGGACTCTCTCTGGTCTTTCTCAGGTCTCTTTCTGGTCTCTCTCTGGCCTCTCCCTCTGGTCTCTCTCTTGTCTATCTCTAGTCTCACTCTGGTCTCTCTCTGGTCTCTCTCTCTGATCTCTCTGTGGTCTCTCTGTGGTCTCTCTCTGGTCTCTCTCTGGTCTCATTCTGGTCTCTCTTTGGTCTCTCTCTGGCCTCTCCCTCTGGTCTCTCTCTTGTCTATCTCTAGTCTCACTCTGGTCTCTCTCTGGTCTCTCTCTCTGATCTCTCTCTGTGGTCTCTCTCTGGTCTCTCTCTGGTCTCATTCTGGTCTCTCTCTGGTCTCTCTCTGTTCTCTCTCCAGTCTCTCTCTAATCTCTCTTCACATTGCCATGATCCCACTTCAGAATGGAAAAGTATTCTCCCAAACCCTTACCAAGCACCTTGAGTGTGTCCTCAGTCTATGAAATGCGCTATATAAATAAAGATCACTCACATACTTACTTAAAACATACAGTTGTTTCCTGCTTCCTCTGCAGTAAACTCTGTCTCTAACTGAGATGTAAGTTCTAGCTCATTATTACACATTAGTCTCATTCCCAGTGTTTTTGTGTAATTGCTTCTGTATCAAAATGCACTTGATTCATTTAGATTTACTTCTCACTTTTCCTCCACGTTTTCAGCTGAGCAGCTTTAAAATGAGCGTCCTTTTTCTTACTATAAATTATTTCATGTTTTAACACTTCAACTCAAAGCAGCAGTCCTCGAGTCCAGGCTCAAGTACCATCAATGATACTAATGAGTGTGGGATAGAGATTCACTTCCAACGCAATACAGTATATTTCTCAAAGATTCAAAAACAGATAAAAAATAAAACCTTTTGCTTTTATTTCCCATTTATTGTCTTCTTTATAAATCTTCTCAGTCTGTTTGAAATAACAAAAAGTTTGATTTACGGTTTTTTCTCATTTTTAGTACATTATGTGACAAATCTTGTTTTAGGACAGGATGGGACCAGTCAAAATTGGTTCTTTTATTTTAATGAGTCAAGAACCTTCTTACTTGGACTGAGAAAAGAACGATAGCTACAGTGCTTGTTAAGAGTATTTTTATTCCCATCACGGTATTAACCAGGCCTTGCCCTGCCTAGCTTCAGAGGTCTCTCTCATTCTCTCTCTGGTCTCTCTCTGGTCTCTTGCTCTAGTCTCTCTGGTCTTTCTCTCTGGTCTCTCTCTCTGGTCTCTCTCTGGTCTCTCTCTGGTCTCTCTCTCTGGTCTCTCTCTCTGGTCTCTCTCTCTGGTCTCTCTCTGGTCTCTCTCTCTGGTCTCTCTCTCTGGTCTCTCTCTCTGGTCTCTCTCTGGTCTCTTGCTCTAGTCTCTCTGGTCTTTCTCTCTGGTCTCTCTTTCTGGTCTCTCTCTCTGGTCTCTCTCTGGTCTCTCTCTGGTCTCTCTCTCTGATCTTTCTCTGGTCTCTCTCTGGTCTCTTCTCTGTACTCTCTCTTGTCTCTCTCTGGTCTCTCTTTTGTCTCTCTCTGGTCTTTCTCTCTGGTCTCTCTCTCTGGTCTCTCTCTCTGGTCCCTCTCGCTCTAGTGTATCTCTGGTCTTTCTCTCTGGTCTCTCTCTCTCTGGTCTTTCTGGTCTCTCTCTCTCTGGTCTTTCTCTTAGGTCTCTCTGCCTGGTCTCTCTCTGGTTTTCTTGGTCTCTCTCTTGTCTCTCTCTGGTTTCTCCCTGGTCTCTCTTGTCCCTCTCTCTTGTTTCTCTGGTCTCTCTGTTCTCTCTCTCAGGTCTCTCGCTGGTCTCTTTCTGGTCTCTCTCTGTTCTCTCTCTCTGTTCTCTCTCTCTGGTCTCTCTGGTCTCCCAAACCCAGTATAATAATGTATCATATTATAATAGACTCTGTAAAACCATCTCTTTTTGCTCATGGCGTTTCTGCTCCAGCCTCCTCACCTCCTCTTGTTGCCTAGGTGACGTACGAGGCCCACAAAGAATACCTGGCCAAGATGTACGAGGAGTACCAGCGTCAGGAGGAGGAGAACATGAAGAAGGGGAAAAAGGGCTCCGTCTCCACCATCTCCGGGCTCTCGGCTGCACCTGCTCCCGTCGTCAACGGCAACCTGGAGATAGATGACAACTCCCAGACCCAGACCCCGGAGAGCGAGGCGGAGTACAGCGAGGCCACAGGGGCGGACTCACGGAACCTGCTGGCGGACGGGGCTGTGAAGAGACCTAACGGGGAGGTCCTGTCGCCCGTGGAGCCGGGGGCGGGGGCCGGGGTGAGGGTGGAGGTGCACGATCTGCTGGTGGACATCAAGGCGGAGAAGGTGGAGGCGACGGAGGTGAAGCTGGACGATTTGGATCTGTCTCCTGAGGCTCTGGGCGGGACGGCGGGGAACGGGACCGGCCTGGAGAACGGACCCCTGGTGGAGGTAATGAGACAGCAGTAAATAAGTTCTCAAGCAGGAGTGTGGAGACCTCTAGGGGTAGATGATGGTATTACAGCACATAATTATAATAAACAAAGGAAGGTTGCTCACCCAATAAAGTTTATTTTGAGCAAAGTGCACAAGAAGCAAAAGTAGAATATCCAAAATAATGCATAAATATCCCTGAGTACATTTACATATTACAAAATTATAAATATTATATACATAAGAGAAACACTTGCAGATACACTGATAGTGAGAGGGTCTATGTGCTGATGATCCAGGATATTTATTCACATTAATGGACATTTTTTTTTACATTTATTTACATTTATGGACATTAGTATCTGCCTCTCATGGACCAATGGCTCTATGTCAGGGGTGCTCACACTTTTTCAGCATGCGAGCTACTTATAAAAGGATCAAGTCAAAATGATCTACCTACTACAAAAATGCAAATCATATATTTATTTAAAAAAATATTCTTTATATCTACAATGTATGTTTATGTACATGCAAAACCGCATGAGCCAATATAGCACAACACAACACAATTACCTATGTACATTTTTTGTCATTACCCGAGTTTACTCTGATGACTTGCACTGAATTGAATCGGCCAGAGATGCATAGTCCGGAAAATTGGTGGCAACTCGCTGGCAAGTTTGTCGTGGTTTAGCTTTCCTGCACTGAGCGCGGTTGTTTGCGCATGTGCAGTCACCTAAGTGTCAGTAAAACATTACTGAGTAAAACACAGATGTCATTTGACTGTGGTGCCATGTCCATGTGCCATGCCTGTTTTTTTTAAATCCAAATATTTCCCCTCCTCAGTTTATAAAATAATTTGCATCCACACATCTGCGTTATCAATCACATTCGTAACATTCCAAACATGTGCGTCTCTTACGTCCTGTCCTGCGTTGGGGAAAAACACAGAAGTGGGCGGAGCTTTGATGCAGACGCCGGTAACGGCACTTTTACAGTCATAGAAGACACTCAGAGTAAAGAGTAAGACGTATGTTTACAAGCACTGACTCCGTCCTCAGCCCTGGTTTAGTCCTGGTTTAGTCCTGGTTTAGTCCTGGTTTAGTCCTGGTTTAGTCCTGGTTTAGTCCTGGTTTGGTTGTTTTCGAGCGTGAGTCCCCGCGATCACTTTGCTGCTCTCTGATGTGGAGGATGTTCGCTGCTGCGAGCATCTCACAGCGAACAGTTTTTAAGGTAGTATGATCCATGCTTCAGTGATCAGAGGAATTTAGGGGGGTACTGTGGCGTGCGAGAACGCAAAACTCCGGTTATCTCTGTCTACACACAAATGCATTAACGGAGTTTTCAAAAATCTCCACTTTGCCCGGAGTTTTTTGTATATATTCGTTTAGAATGTGTAATTTTTTATTTATTTAATGCGATCTACCAATACTACCTTTGCGATCGACATGTAGATTGCGATCGACGTATTGAGCACCCCTGCTCTATGTGTTTGTTTATTATTGCATTTTCAGTTTGAACGGTTTGATTCTCTGATCTGAGCTGGCAAATCTATATCTTTGTAAAGTCGAGATAACTGAATAATATGGTTCAAAAAAATCAAAAATAACTATTTTGAAAAAGTAAAACAATAATAATTAAAATAAAAAAAACAAACAAGATTATTTTTTCCCACAAACATCATCAACGTTTTCTATTGGGGCAAAAGTTTAAATGTAATCATTTATGGCTTCGTCCAAAACTTCCACTTCCCCATTGAACTGCATTGAGCTAGCGGGTTAGCATTGTCCATCTATATACAGTCCATGGTTTTGATTCACTTTACCACAGTATGAAGTCAGTTTTTCTTGTATTCTTAAACCAAAAACACTGGATCCCACTCACTGAATGAAAAAGAAGAGCTGTTTTCTCTCACTGTTAACCCAAAATAATCAATAAATCACCTACAAATGTACAATTAGCTGTAAAGATGCTAACATTAGCTTCTCACCTTAGCTTGAGCTGTTTACAAAGTTTGCAATCTGAGGTAGAAAGATGAAAATCCAGTCTGTTTTGGTCTTTTCCTCTCATACAAATATTCTCTCTTTTCTCATTCTCTCCGTGGTAATTCTCGTCTTTCTCTGTTGCGCAGGTGGACTCGCTCCTGGACAGCGCGTACTGTGCGGTGGTGCAGAACCTCAACGGGAACCTGGCGCCCACAGACGACACGGCGATGGGGATTGGGACTGGCCTGGGTCTCTCCGGAGTCTCTCTGGAGGACCATGGGAACATGGGACCTCTGATCACTCTGGCCGACGAGAAGGACAGCGTACCCAGTAACAACGGCTTCTTATTCAGCAAGGTACAAATCTCAAAAAAATCGGGACATTTAAGGATTTTATTCGGTGATACAGAATCCCTGGTCCACATTTAGTGTCGTTTTACTTCAGTCAAGTCCATGTTTGAGCCAAAAAGTGAAAGAAAATGGTAAAGAGGGCATTGGGTTAAACAAGATTATTGTTTTCTTTCATATTTTTCATAATTTCAAAGCGACTGTATAAATGTGACAAGCTTTGCTCGTGACAGAGTACGTCATCAAATGAGAATTTTTGAGTGAAATTTTAAATACAGCCATCGTGATCCTTTTGACCAAATTTGCAGAATACAAGAAATCACGGAATGTTAGAATATGGTTAAAAAATTCATTCAATTCTGTTTTTCAACTTAAAACTTAAAACAAACACATGATATGGACTCATTACACTCATTACGGTATATGTTTTTCATAATGTTGATGATTATGGCTTATTAGCACTTCCTGGAAATGTAAGACGCAATATAATGTATTATTACTATTAATATTATAAGATTTATTGTCCTGTACTGTAGCAACCTCGGAGGACGTTACAAAGTTGTGGATTCTCCAAGTCCATTTAATGAATCATATTTGTTCTTTAAACTGTAAATATGTTGGTGATTCTGTCCTCAAAATATCAATGTTCTTTTTCTGATCCTCTGACTATAACATTTCGTTTTTGTTTTTCAGGTGGATGAGAAGCTGCTCCCGGCTCTGGCCTCCACAGACCCCCTGGTTCTCCCCGGTTCAGACCCTCCGGCCCCCGTGGCGTCCCACACGTCCAGCGCCAGTGACGACCTCAGCCTCCTGGCCCACATGACCAGCTGTGGCTCCAACCTGACCCCCGCAGACCTGCCGGAGGACGGGCCCTTTAAGATCCAGAGCCCCCTGGCAGACATCAGCTCCATCGCCGAGGCCGAGGCCCACGCACACGGGGCGAGACCGGATTTTCCCGAGGGAGAGGTGGCGCCCGCGGCTGAGGGAGACTCGGGCCTCAAGATGGGAGGAGACTCGGCCAGCACCACGTCCGACACGGAGAGGTCAGACGACGGCAAAGAGAAGGACGCCAAGAAGATTCAGACCACGGCCACGACTCAGGTTTGTACACGACACGAGGAGAAATGTCCGAGTAAACAATTTTCATCCATCCATCTTCTTCCGCTTCATCCGTTGCCGGGTCGCGGGGGCAGCAGTCTAAGCAGAGACGCCCAGACTTCCCTATCCACACACACTTCCTCCAGCTCGTCTGGGGGGACCCCAAGGCGTTCCCAGGCCAGTTGAGAGCCATAGTCCCTCCAGCGTGTCCTGGGTCTTCCCCGGGGCCTCCTCCGGGTGGGAGGTGCCCGGAACACCTCCCCAGGGAGGCGTCCAGGAGGCATCCGGAACAGATGCCCGAGCCACCTCAACTGGTTCCTCTCGACGTGGAGAAGCAGCGGCTCTACTCCGAGCTCCTCCCGTGTGACTGAGCTCCTCACGCTATCTCTAAGGGAGCGCGCAGCCACTCTGCGGAGGAAGCTCATTTCGACCGCTTGTATCCGCGATCTTGTTCTTTCGGTCATTACCCAAAGCTCATGACCATAGGTGAGGGAGGGAACGAAGATTGACCGGTAAATCGAGAGCTTTGCCTTTCGGCTCAGCTCCCTCTTCACCACAACGGTCCGATACAGCGACCGCATCACTGCGCACGCTGCACCGATCCGCCTGTCAATCTCATGCTCCATCCTTCCCTCACTCGTGAACAAGACCCCGAGATACTTGAACCCCTCCACTTGAGGAAGGACCTCTCCACCCACCTGAAGACGGCAAGGCACCTTTTTCCGGTCGAGCACCATGGCCTCGGATTTGGAGGTGCTGATTCTCATCCCAGCCGCTTCACACTCGGCTGCAAACCGTCCCAGTGCATGTTGCAGGTCCTGGTTCGTTGGAGCCAACAGGACAACATCATCCGCAAACAGCAGAGATGAAATCCTGTGGTCTCCGAACCGGACCCCCTCCGGCCCCTGGCTGCGCCTAGAAATTCTGTCCATGAACACAGTGAACAGAACCGGTGACAAAGGGCAGCCCTGGCGGAGGCCAACATGCACCGGGAACAGGTCTGACTTACTGCCGGCAATGTGAACACAGCTCTGGCTCCGGTCATACAGGAAACGGACGGCCCTCAGCAGAGGACCCCGGACCCCGTTCTCCCGGAGAACCCCCCAAAGGACACCCCGGGGAACACGGTCGAACGCCTTCTCCAAATCCACAAAGCACATGTGGACAGGTTGGGCGAACTCCCATGAACCCTCGAGTATCCGATGGAGAGTATAGAGCTGGTCCAGTGTTCCACGACCGGGACGAAAACCACACTGCTCCTCCTGGATCCGAGATTCGACCATCGGCCGTAGCCTCCTCTCCAGTACCTTGGAGTAGACCTTACCGGGGAGGCTGAGGAGTGTGATCCCACGATAATTGGAACACACCCTCCGGTCCCCCTTCTTGTAGAGAGGGACCACCACCCCGGTCTGCCACTCCATTGGCACCGCCCCCAATCGCCACGCGATGTTGCAGAGACGTGTCAGCCACGACAGTCCTACAACATCCAGAGACTTTAGATATTCAGGACGGATCTCATCCTCTCTCGGCGCCTCGCCACCATGGAGGCTGCCAACCACCTTGGTGACCTCTGCCAGGGAGATGGAAGTATCCGCCCCAACATCCTCAGCCTCTGCCTCCGGGGCGGAGGACGTGACGGGGGGATTAAGGAGAACCTCGAAGTATTCCTTCCACCGCCCGACAATATCCCCAGTTGAGGTCAGCAGCCCTCCACCCGCACCGTACACGGTGTTGGCAAAGACAACTCCTCCCAGTCCCGGGTTTTTGCCTCTGCAACAGCCCGGGCCGCCGATACTGGACAGCTGCCTCAGGAGTCCCATGAACCAATCTTGGTAAACAATCTTCAGCTGGACTAATATCTATTCTTGGTTGCATCTATTTTACTCATTTGATTTTGTGTGTGCATGTGTGTGTGTGCATGTGTGTGTGTCCATGTGTGTGTGCATTTAATAATAAATGTGGTTTAGGGTGGGTCTGTTGGGTGGTCACGGTCAAGTGTTTTTATCCAAACTGTAATGGACTTTGTGTTGCATTTCTTCCATGAATACAGTGTGATTAATCGAGACAAGTTTATGTGAATAGCACAGTTCAGACTGAAGGGAACTTAAAGTGCTGAGTTATACAGTATTAGTTTATTATGCTAAAGTTAGAAATTTTAGACTTGCTTCTTCTAGCTCAAGTTTTTCTTTTATTTTTTGTATAGAGAGATAGTATTGTTCCTTTTTCCTCATTCCTTCTGTTCTGTAGCCGGTGATGCAACACTGAAATGTCCCCAATGTTAATCTTAATCTTCTGTCATGTCTGCTCTGGTTCAGGCCCTCCACGGTCGCACCGCTGCTCAGCTGGAGAGAGACCTTCGTGTGGACCTGGGTTTCCGGGGGATGCCCATGACGGAGGAGCAGCGGCGGCAGTTCAGCCCTGGGCCCCGCACCACCATGTTCCGCATCCCAGAGTTCAAGTGGTCGCCCATGCACCAGCGGCTGCTCACTGACCTGCTGTTCGCCCTGGAGACTGACGTGCACGTGTGGAGGAGGTGAGGCCCGCGCTCTCTGGTGAAGGGCGGGGCAGGATATGAGAGGGTAAACTGGCTAAACAAAATGGCCACCAAAGGAGCACTTTAAACAATCTTGGCTTTGTTTTGAAACTGTTTTAGTTTGATCAACTGATTCCTGTTTTGTTTGTTTTATTTCTCTACTTTTAACCATGTTTTATTTATGTACTTGTCTGATGCACAATAGGGGCTCTTGCGGATGTATTCCAATGGGGTTTTACTGCAAATGGCAAGTAAATTAATCTGAATAATCAGATGGAATAACCCAAGAAAACGTGACACAAAGTGATGAAGAATAAGAAACAAATCTGCCTTAAATGTAGCACATTTTGTCTGCCTTAAAACAAGATTTGCCAATGGGACAGAGCATAATGATCATTTGAAAGCCAGAGCCTGTCAGACCTCTGAAGCTGTGCAGGGCAGGGCCTGGTTAGTACTGTGATGGGAGACCTCCGGGAACACCACGTGCCACAGTGGGGCGGCTGCGGCTGTAAAGTGCCAAACTGTTGTTGTGTCCTTAGGCAATACACTTAGGCAATACACTTACCCCAGAATGAGTCTGGTGTGTGTGTGTGAATGGTTGCTGCCTCTCTTCTGTCAGTGTGCCCCAGGGCAGCTGTGGCTACAGTAGTAGTTTAACACCACAGTGTATGGAGTGAGAGAATAATGATGTGAAGCGTCTTTGAGAGTCCAGAAAAAGCATTATGTGTGTTTGTATATGTGTGTGTGTCTGTCGGTGTGTGTGTGTGTGTATCTGTTTTTGTGTGTGTGTGTTTCTGACTGAGTCTCTCTGTTTTTCAGCCACTCGACTAAGTCTGTGATGGATTTTGTGAACAGTAACGAGAACATCATCTTTGTCCACAACACCATCCACCTGATCTCTCAGATGGTGGACAACATCATCATCGCCTGCGGAGGAATCCTGCCCCTGCTCTCCGCCGCTACCTCCCCCTCTGTGAGTGACTCCCCCTCTACCTCCCCCTCTGTGAGTGACTCCCCCTCTACCTCCCCCTCTGTGAGTGACTCCCCCTCTACCTCCCCCTCTGTGAGTGACTCCCCCTCAACCTCCCCCTCTGTGAGTGACTCCCCCTCTGCCTCCTCCTCTGTGAGTGACTCCCCCTCTACCTCCCCCTCTGTGAGTGACTCCCCCTCAACCTCCCCCTCTGTGAGTGACTCCCCCTCTGCCTCCTCCTCTGTGAGTGACTCCCCCTCTACCTCCCCCTCCGTGAGTGACTCCCCCTCAACCTCCCCCTCTGTGAGTGACTCCCCCTCTGCTTCCTCCTCTGTGAGTGACTTTATGCGTGACTCCCCCTCTGCCTCCCCCTCTATGAGTGACTCTGCCTTGCCCTCGTGTGGCAGGACGGTGAACTGCACTCGCTTCAATTTTCTCTCACTCGTTCAAAGTGTTTTTAAAGCTATTGATTCAGTGGTAGTTACATTCTAACCCTATCGAACAAAGGGCTCACCTGCAATTCCTGCATTTTTAATAATAATAATATTTTTTTATCCCAGACTCAAGGTCCACATACAAGACGATGCAATACACCACAAGACACAGACAAATGGACAGATTTATATGAATATTTATTTTATTACGAATCTTTGATGAAGGACACAATATAATATGGTGATTACAGGTAAACAAAAAATATGCAATACATACAGTAAAATAAATATGTATATAAGAAAAAAAAAGGTTGTTATATATCTACATTCTAAAGGCCTGAACTCCAGTGAGTCCATGAATCGCAGGTAAAGTTTATTCTCTGTGGAGTAAATGAAACTTTCTGATTTATCACTCAATCCGCTGGATGCTACAAATCTCCCCTTTTAGTTTGAAACAGTATCATTTGATTTGCTTTAATAGTTCTTTTCTATTTCCTTTCCTGTGTTCTGTGTGTTCTTGTCTGTTTTTGTGCATGGACAGAGTTCTAAGAGTAGTGCCAACACTGTAAGTTACAGTACCTTACTCTTTTTCTCCTGTTTTACTAATTCTTTGTTCCTCTTTATTCTCCATCGTGACACTAACCCCTGCTGCTTGTTCGGCTCATAGTGTTTTTCTTTGTTGTATTCCTTTGCTGCTAAAATATTCTCCTTCTGAGCTTCTGTGGGCATGCACTCAGCTTAAAGTAGTCAAACCTGAGGAGATTTATCTCGGGCCGGGACGCGATTAAAACAAATGATATAGTTCATTAGAGGCTTTGTAATTAATGAATCATATTTAATCAGTTATAAATATGTGACCTGATAACAGTAAGAAGTATTTTTTCTTTCCAAATGGATTTGTAGTTGACCTTTGAATAATGACTTAATAAATAAGCTTAAGGAACAACATATCGTAACGTTGTCATACTAGCTTGCTGCGTCATTGGTCATACTAGCTTGCTGCGTCATTGGTCATCGGAAAACGTATCATTTTTACCCAGCGAAAAAGGTCACGTATGAGTTTAGCTTGTATTTCTTTATGTTGTAAATGTTGAATGTGTTGCCTCTGATTATTCTCAATGAGGTTCTCCTGGTTAAAAAAGGGGTAACCAAAACAATTATTATAAAAAATAAAAATTAATTAGCTAGTTAGTTAGCCTGCACTGTTGTCTGTTGTTAGTAATAAAGTTACTACATTTGGATCAAGAAATCTCGTCTACAGTGCTTCAAGATTCAAGAATGTATTTGCCATTTTCAGTAAAACCACATTGGAAAAACTGCAAGACTTCCCCAGTGTGCACCAGACAGAAGATAGCACACACCAGAGCTCTTGCCTCAGAGAGCTTCACACGGTTCGCTACAATATAATTTATTTTGTCCGAGTCCAACAAACCAGTGGAACTTCTGCCGTTAAGTAGCATTAGGATAAAAGAAATGTAAAACATTTTATTGCCGCTAATCTTCTACCACTCACAGTGATCTGCCGGCAAGTGTAATCCAGTGAGCCCGCCTTAAAGTTGTCACCTGGGGGAGTGTGGTTTGGGTCTTTGTACAAGGGCTAACGTTCATGCTAACAGCTAGCTGCTCTATGTTTAGCATTGAGCTGATACTCGATCTGCTGCTGACCTGCGAACACAACCTGCTTTTTTTATAACAACATTTCCCATCCCTGAGCTAACCACTGCTGTTAGCTTATTCTTTTATGTTCACCGTGCTTTATTGTTGTCTGAACGTAGTCGGTGCTCAAGTTTAACGGTCCGCCAAAACTCTCTCTCATGAGAAAGGTTCCACGGTCCAAAATGCCTTAAAATATGCCAAAAAAATGACACGCGTTATTTTTTTGTAATTCATGAATTTTAGATAACAAGTTAAAGTCCCGGCTCTAGATTAATCTTTAGCTACTGTAGGAGCTAGCTAAAATGAAGTGTAGGAGAAGCATGACATTGATCTGAAGTCCTTGGGGGTGTGCTGTGCTAAGCCTGTTCCGTTTGTATCAACACTAAAGAAGGCAGGAGGAGCTGGGCCCCTGGGAGGGTCCAAAGTCGAGGAGGTGAGCCCTCTTCCTGGGGCAGGAGGCGCTGGGGGTGAGGTGCGTAAAAAAAAGAAACCTGAGACCACTTCACTAGAAGAGCTAAGAGCACCACCCCGAGCCCCTGTGTCCCACCTGTGTGTGTGTTTATCCCGTCTGAGCTGCACCAAAGCAACACGCACTGGTTTGATGCAAGTCCCTTCATGCAACCTCTGGGTTTCTGACTCTCAAACGCCAAAGAGGGCGGAGTTTGTGTAGTATTTACCTCTTGTCACTGTACGGACGTGTCTCTGCCATCACTGTCTCTGCCATCGGGCTGCGTGTGTCGTGTGTTTCGTGTTGCAGAATGACCATTGAGTGCGTTTCTCACTGACCCAGCATGAACCAAGACTGCCTCTCCTGTCTCTCGGTGTCCACAGTCATGATTACGGTCATGCACAACTGTTTGGAGTCTATATTATGAATGCGTTATGGCAGATTTTTGTACAAAGAAAGTATGTGAACCCTTTGACCTTGCTCACTTATACTCTGCTGCATAAGAAGGTGGTCTGAGCTTCTTCCAAAATATATCTAAAATGATTTTACATGTGTTCAATTCAATTCAATGTATTCTTGTATAGACCTAAATCACAACAGTAGTTATCTCGGAGGACTTTACAAAGCTGTTGAATTTGCCGACACAGATCAGAGAATCAACAGTTCAAACACAAGAAATGCAATGATAACAAACACATAGAGCCATTGGTATGCGTCCAAAAAAGCATTTGAACCTATTGTCTCAAGACTTCTCTAAGATCATCCAACCAGACCTCGTGTCAATGCAATAGGACAGAGGCTGCTCCTTGGTCTTTTCTCATGGACAGCTTTAGGTTTAAACTGTCTTTTCTCAAGTAGGAGTAGTCTGTGAGCATATGTCCTGCTCAAAAAGACCTCTCGGAAGACAAACTGATGTAAGAGTTTCATGTCAAGTCATCATTAAAGGGCCCTAATCTGTCAAAAGGCAATAATAAAACATTCTCTTTTCCAAAACTTCTTTGACTGATAACAGTCGTTCAGAGATATTCGAATTTCAAAATTAGTTTTCCAGCCCCTAAATCTTGTTATTCTTATTGTCATTTCGATGTCCCGCCCTCCACCGTTTTACCAATCAGACAGTCCATGATCCGGGTTGCCAGAACTCACCGCGTCAAGCTAATCTCACTGGTAAAGTACCATGTGGCGCAGAACTAGAAAAGGTCTCGTTATGGTTCTCAAATCATTAACGACAAAAAAGGAATAAAATCAGGATTTCTATCTTTGTGAAAAGGTGTTGGTTATAGATTTGTTGCTGACAAAACTCTTGTCTATTCAGCTGATATGGTCCCAGCTGGATCCGTCTGCATATCTGGCAACCTGAGTCAGGGAGAGTGGGAGAGGCTGCAGTACCACTTTTGAACTGTTGACTTCTTTACTTAAAAAAGACGTTTTTTAGATCTCCAAAAGACTTGTTCTTCAGTTTACCGTTTGAGGAACAGTTTATAAATCCAGTTTAGAGAAATTCCAAAAAGGTGGTCCTTCTGTATAAAACACCTCAACATCACAAAATGGTCACTGAGTTAAGCAATATAGCACTTGATTTCACATATTCTAAAACACAGAATCACAAAGTAAATAGTCTCATTAGGATTTATACTGGCTAAATATAATGCATAATAGTTTGTCTTTAAAAAGGTGAGATTTTACCAAGAAAAAACTCGTCTCTGCAAAGATAAAACTTTGAAACTTAGAGTTCAGTTACAAGCTAGTTTCCAGTGTAAAAGCAAATCTTTTATACATTTTTTGTAAATCTTTTATTTTGATGTTTTGATTGTGTTTATTACCTGCTGTAGAATCTAGAGACATGTTCGCAAATGTAAAGCATGTTATAGCTAAAATGATGCATTATTGTTATTATTGTTATTATTATTATTACCAGACAACATGATTTAATGAAGAGGTAATTAACAGCTTCCTCATTCGCCTTCATCTATTTGGACAATAAACCAGGGTCCTATAGCATCAAAATAATACATCCATAAAGTCTAAAAAGAAAAAGAAAAAAGTATCAGTAGTAGTTGTCAGTTTGTGGACTCATTATTTTGACAGTATAAATAAATAACAAATAACACTGGTATAACATAATAACATAATACTTCAGAGAAATACCAAGCCCCAGAATGATAGTTCTGGCAGCTACTTTTCCAATAACACAGTTTACTGCTGTTTCTTTTTTGTTGTTAAAATTGAAAAGAAAATGTCTTCTATGTAACACTTTCCCAAATTATTAATATGCTTTTATAAATAATTGTTCCTTTTTGTCCTATTGTTTATTTTGTTTTTCTCCTGATCTTGAAATTTAGTTTGGCTACTATTTTGAAATGGTTTTGCCCCAAACTTTGGAGACTGGTTTAGGGAAAATAAGTTCTTCAGCCTAATCCCTTCGTCACAAATGCGTTTGTGTATCTAAGTCAAAGTATGTACATTAACTGACATAAAATAACTGTCTAAATGCCTTTTTTATGTCAAAAAAAATGTGTATGACTGAATAAACAAACTTACTACTTACTACTACTAGGAGAACACGGAGAAAGCAGACTGTTTTCAACTCCTTCCTTATGATTTGGATGCAGCTCAGATCACAGTCATGCCTCACTCCTGTAGATATTTCACTTCCAAAGGGTTCACACACTTCCTGGTTCTCGTACACGTTCTCGCGGCCGCACCTGCCCTGATTGACGCAGCAGCCTGTGTGTGGCCCCTGCAGACGGAGCTGGAGAACATCGAGGCCACTCAGGGCATGTCCTCGGAGACGGCGGTGACCTTCCTGTCTCGCCTCATGGCCATGGTGGACGTCCTGGTCTTCGCCAGCTCCCTCAACTTCAGCGAGATCGAGGCCGAGAAGAACATGTCGTCCGGAGGCCTCATGCGCCAGTGTCTGCGGCTCGGTGAGTGCCTTATGTACCGTGATGTCTGTGCTAGAAGCTGCTACGTGCTTTGGTAACACTTTAGATTAACCCTCACGAGCAGTTTCAGTGACAGACTTATGCATCCTCGCTGTGTGAAGCAGAGGTTTCGCTGGTCCGTCCCCCCTGCTGCTGTCAGACTGTATAACGAGAACGGCTGAGTCTGTACAAGTGTCACTGCTAGTCACTTTCCCTGTTGTTAATACTACTGCATTATTACATATCCATCTGATACTTTTGCCATTCACCAGTCACTTTACCTGCTGATATTATTACTGATATTTATTCAGAGTTTATTTTTATTTATTCAATTTTGCTTATTATTTTATTGTCTATTATGTTAAATAGTAGACTGTTTAATGTGTGCGTCTGAGTCTCATTTCCTGCTTTCTCTGCTAAAATGTGCAACGATGACACTGAAGTTTCCTCACCGTGGGACAGATAAAGGAATATCTTATCAAACTAACATCTAATTTAGTGCCAATTAGTGTATAATTTATGGTTAATTACCTGTTTATTGGTATTTGTTAAGTTCTTATTAGTCCTTTTTCTACACAGCCTTATTCAACATCTACCTAACTACTAACTGACACTTTACCTGTGGGTTAGGTAATGGAAAATAAGTAATAAATTGCTCAGATTTGGCTAAATATATCTTAATTTGAGCACATTAATTGGGCGGCACGGTGGGTGAGTGGTTAGCACTCTCGCCTCTCAGCAAGAAGGTCCTCGAAGGGTTCGAATCCCGGTTGGACCAGGGCCTTTCTGAGTGGAGTTTGCATGTTCTCCCCGTGTCTGCGTAGGTTTCCTCCGGGTGCTCCGGTTTCCCCTACCACTAAAAATATGTACAATAGGTATGGCATGTGCCTCCTGTACTGGCACCCCCACCCAACAATTGTAAACCACTTTGAGACTCCGATGTGCAGTGAAAAGGCGGTATATAAATAAAAAAAAAGCTTACTTACATTTTGACTTCCTTAAAAAAAGATTTGCCAATGGGACAAAAGCAAAATTGTCTTGTTTTAAAAAGATACAAGATATGTCTCCCTTGGAATGAGAAAATAAATCAGCAGACTTTGTCTTGTTGGAGAATCTTGTTTTAACACAGTCAGAATGTGTCAGAATTAAGATAAAAACCACTCAATTCAAGCAATTATTACCTCATTTTTTATCATTTTTGTAGCGTATATAGCGATGCAGCTAATATGTGTGTGTGTTTTACTGTGGTAATATTATAGCTAAGGGCTAAAAACAGCAGCTTGTGATGGAATTAGTGAAAACAAAGGAGCAAGACTTGAGAAGTAACTGAAAGCAACTGATAAAACATGTTATAATAGATGTTGTGATGTGTTATTCTGCAGCAAATGAACCCAGAATGGCAAGTTTTCATACGTATGTTAGCGAAAATGCAAAACACAAGAAGCTAAACCGCTCTTTTAGCTGCATATTATTAATATTTCAGTAGAGGGTTAGCATGGCATGTAACAGAAAAGCTAATAATTTCACTTTTTAGTCACTTACTAAGAATATAGGCTGTTTTAGCTATGGATTACCTACTTATTGGTAATACCTTACTAATATATGCTGGAATATAGAGAGGCTGAAATTTAGCTTACAAACCATAGGGATTAGCATGTGTATAACTTGTTGAAGCTTTGTAAATACAGAGAATTGAATTATTTTAACCATGAAATAAGATAAGAATTCCTTTATTCGTCCCACAGTGGGGAAATTTCGATGTTGCAGCGCACATATAGGACAGTAGTAAGAGCACACAGGGAGCACACACAATATATACACTATATACAAATAAGTAGTAGCTATGTTTCTTAGCTAACATAACTAGCTGTAGATGCTGAAAATGCTTCAATACCAGTCAAAAAATATATATGTAGTAGTGCAGTTATATACTGTACAGTTAAATAGTGCAGGATAAAAAGTATATAAGTAGAGTGACATTGTTCTGTGACATTCTGAAGTTGCAGTATTGCACATTGCACATGATTTAAGAATTTACTTATTTACAGATGAATGAAATTTACAGGCTCAGCAGTTCTTATTGTACAGTCTGACAGCAGCAGGAAGGAAAGGAAGGAAATCAGCAGGAAGGAAATACAATTGAGCCTTCTGCTGACGATTACAAATGTAACCTGTGCAATACGATTAAACTTGCCTGGCCGTCTTACCTCTCAGTTTGCTGTGTGGCCGTGAGGAACTGCCTGGAGTGCAGACAGAGGCAAAGAGACCGCGGCTGCAAGACTTCTCTCACCAGCAGCAAGTCCCAGGACAGTCTTCACAGCGCCCCTCCGACCACCAAGGTACTACACACACACATACACAATACACAAAAACACAAAAATACACATACTATACACACACACATATACAGTACAGACCAAAAGTTTGGACACACTTCCTCATTCAATGAGTTTCTTTTCATGACTATTGACTGTAGATTCACACCAGGCTGTGTAAGAGCTGTTTGACCAATAAGGAGAGTGATGGTGCTGGGCCTCCACAGTCACCGGACCTGAACCCAGTCCAGATGGTTTTGGGGCTGGACCAAAGAGTGAAGGGGCCAACAAGTGCTAAGCATCATGGGAACTCCTTCAAGACTGTTGAAGATCATTTTAGGTCCTCTTGAAGCTCATCCAGAGAAAGCCAAGAGTGAAGCAGTTATCGGAGCAAAAGGTGCTACTTTGAAGAACCCAGAATATAACACATATTTTTGATGCCATCAGTGAGAATCTATAATTTTCATAATCATGAAAATAAATGACTGAAGGTCTGTCCAAACTTTTGGTCTGTACTGTATATACACCCGATACACAAAAATACACACATACTATACACACACTCATGAATAAACTGGGTCTTTTTGGTTCGGGAGGAAGCCGAAACAGATGCGAAAAGCCAAATATATGTCACAATATCTAATGTTATAGTTACGATTACTGTGGGGAAAAAACACCACTTTTACCAATATCTATCATACCCTTGATAGAGAAATACCACTTCTGAGCTAATTCACCATTTCCTAATTATTTATTTATGTATATGGGGGGCACTGTGCCTGAGTGGATAGCACTCTCGATTCTCAGCAAGAAGGTCCTGGGTTCGAATCCCGGTCGGAACAGGGGCTTTCTGAGTGGAGTTTGCATGTTCTCCCCATGTCTGGCATGTGCCTTCTGTACTGGCCCCGCTCCCATCTCTGTGTGGAGTGAGAGACAAATGCCCACAATTGTAAACTGCTTTGACTCTGGTCTGTGAAAGGCACTATATAAATAAACATTCCTTACTTACTTATTGATTTACTTGATAGGCACCAATGTACACAATCAACATTTATAGCTAAGGCCTTATTGTAATGTCCATTTCTGTTAAAAATAATGTAATAAATGATCATTAAAAACTGGGAAGGCCCTGCAGGCTTCAGGATTCTGCCCTGACCCTAATAAAAACATGTATAAAAGGTTCAATCCTGTCGCTGTGGTTCTGACTAAGAGGGGACCTCAGGCTCTACGGCAACTTGGGTGGTAATATAAATGGGTCAAATGCTGAGGACGAATTCCCATGCAACGACAAGAACTTGACACAACAGAATTAAATGGACTTTTGGACAATTTGTTTGAGTTTGTGAGTTTCACTTGTAAACACAACTTACACACAATTTATCATCACATTTCTACAACGGAAGAATAAGATAGATCACCTTTAACTTCACGAGACAAACACACCCCACCTTTTTCAATCGAAGAGATAGAGTCAGAGAGCTGCTTATATACAACAGAGGAGTCAGAGAGCTACTTATATACAACAGAAGAGTCAGAGAGCTACTTATATACAACAGAAGAGTCAGAGAGCTACTTATATACAACAGAAGAGTCAGAGAGCTACTTATATATAACAGAAGAGTCAGAGAGCTACTTATATATAACAGAAGATGCAGAGAGCTACTTATATACAACAGAAGATGCCGAGAGCTACTCCATTTTGCAGTCATACAAAAGAGACCATTGTAATAATTAGGACAAGAGGGAACACACATGGAGAGCACATAATTAGAATTCTGTATAACCCCATATTTATACGTAAAATACATATGCAAAGTGTATTAATCCAGGATAATGTGTTAAATCTTTTAGGGAAGCAACCTACTGGTAGCTCCCAAGCAGCAGGTTGGAGACCGCTGACATAGACTACTGTATATTACCACCAGTTATTACATTTGCCTCCTGTCAAGTCATGAAATACCCTGGTCAAGCAAACTATAGCCATTGGCCTTTGAGCCTGATGGTCATGGGTTCAATCCCACCGCAAGACCTTATCCACCGACTCCCACTGCTGTCTGCTGTCGCTCTATCCTTGGGCAAGGCACTTTACCCCACTTTGCCTATAAGGAGTGCGGAAGTAACAACATGCTACTTGCCTTCGTGTGATATGTGTATATGACTATTCATCAAACCGAATTTCTCCATTGTGAGATCAATAAAGTGTATCTTCTTCTGACGACGACATAAACAAAGTGGCACAGATTGTTTATTGACAGCGGTGGTTTCTTTTCCAGCAGGATCCCGACAGACTGCTGCAGGACGTGGACATCAATCGGCTGCGTGCGGTGGTCTTCAGAGACGTTGTAAGCCGTTGTTTACTGTCTATAATGATAAATGTGTCCTCGGAGCTGGTCCTGATTAAGTCTCGGTCGCCTGTGTTGTGCTAATGCGAGGTGCAGATAAAGCCGTGTGACACAAATACTTTCACTCATCAATTACGTTATTGTGGTGACGCGATTTCACATGATTCAGTAACTGTTTATTGCACACAATGAATATGTCGTGTTTGTTTTGTGGTAATTGATGCTCACAGCCTGTCAAGCTTAGCCTCTCTGTATTTCAGAAACATGTTTACTTAAAGAGAATGTCAGTTACTTTTTGAGAGAATTGAACAAACAAATCCAAGGCAAACACCAGTTAGACCCGCTCTTTCTCACTCTTCCTGATTGGACAGAATTGATATGAATCCTTCATACGCAGCACAGAAAGGGTATATAGATGGACAATGCTTGCTCAATGAAACTCAATAGGAAAGTACTCATGGAGAAAGTTTTGCTCTAACTCTCTCTGGAATTGAAAAGTTATCTCCTCTAGTTCAGCAACCCTAAATACACATGTCAAAATATTTAAGTTCTTAAAATTAATTTAAGTTATTTGTGGTAAGGACCTGGCAGCTTGTGTGTATGTCTGTTTTAAAGGTGCAGTAAATGACTCAGGTTAGCTTAGCTGTATAGCACCGATTCAAAAACACTCTCCTCCTCCCTGCCCTCCATCAAACTTCCTACATGTGCTAGCTTCCCCTAACAAACTAGCAATTAGCAAAACTCGACTGCTGTTGCATTGCATAGCCCTGGCTGTGTCCGAGTCCTATCCATAAAACGCCTTTTCCTCATCTGATGTTGTAGGTGTTTTAGAAAGTACTGACGAAAAGAAGGGGTGGGGGTTAAACGCATTGGTTTCTTTCTATCAGTCCGTTCCAAAATATTTCTGATATATAATATGTGTCTAATGTGTTGCGTTTGTGTCTCGTGTCCTCAGGATGACAGTAAACAGGCGCAGTTCCTCGCTCTGGCTGTCGTCTACTTCATCTCTGTTTTAATGGTCTCCAAATACCGGGACATTCTGGAGCCGCAGCGAGAGATTGGCAGGTCGACCAGCCTATCAGGGAGGAGCATCCGCCATGAGATCAACTCCCCCACGAGCACAGGTGATGCCTCTGTGGCTGCACTCATGGTTGCCGCGGTTACATGTCGGGGGGAGGGGAGAACTGGAGAACTGGTATATAGTCCAATTTCAAGTTTGACAAGAGAGGTCTGCATGTATACTGAGACAAGAGTGGTTTTTTTATGGCGCAGTCTATATAAAACACGGAGACTGCAGCGTGGGACTGGGACGATGGAAATGAGTCACGCCGGTGGCTTTGCTGCGGGCTAAAAACAGCAGCTTTGTGATGAAATTAGTGAAAACAAAGGAGCAAGACTTGAGAAGCAACTGGCAACGACTGATAAAACATGTTAAAATTAGACTTTGTGATGTGTTATTCTGCAGCAAAAGAACCCAACATGGCGTGTTTTCATACTTTTGTTAGCGGAAAGGCAAAACGCAAGAAGCTAAACCACGCTTTTAGCTACGTATCATTAATAATTCAATAGAAGGGGAAGCATGTAACATTAAACGCTGTACATGCAATTTCAAAATAGCTTAATGATTATACATTTTAGTCACTTACTAAGAGTCGGCTGTATTACCAATGGATTTCCTATTCATTTGCAAATATCCTAATTTCTGGACTTTAGCGTTTTAATATTTCTTTGAAGATTGTAGCGACGTGGCTAATGTTGGCTAATATCTGTATTTTTATTGTGGTAGAGTTGCACTGTTGTCAGAGCAGTTCATGAATATTAACTTTGAGTAGAACGCTCGCTTATTGTCAAAACATTATGGTAAATGTGAGATGGAAGAGTTAAGGTAAGCATGCTAACGGGATGCTAACTTATTATTGTTTTGTTTACCAAGCTATTAGCTCGATGATCAGCTGTTGGCTAAGTGTTATATAACAGCGTGAAAACCTGTGGCTTATCTTTGAGTGAGTCTTACACTGTATGTGGACAAAACAACTTTGATAGTATTTTAACATTTAGCCAGTGTAGTTCATAAACAGGAGTGCTTACTAATCCAGAGAATACTGTAATGGGCACAAAACTTGGATAAAAAACACACAACCTCAAATCCTTCTTATAAGATCTTGTTTTCCTTGACTCTATGCTCTGTTTAAAGCTAAATACAACCTCCGTGTGTCTCTTGCTGCAGAACACCCGTCTTCAGCGTTCTCCGATCGGGACAAGCAGACCCCGACCCCGGTGGACGACTCCCCACGGGCCGGCCTGCCCCACACGGACTCTGGCATCGGGGAGGAGGGCCACGTGGCGGGCTCTCTGAACGGCTCGGACATGGGTCTGGGTCTGGGTCTGGGCCTGGTGGGACGAGAGACGGACAGGGACCGGGACATGGTGGGCGGCAGCAGCACTGACCTGTTGTGCAGCCTGTCTGACGTGCGGCGGTCGCAGGAGAGCCTTCTGGATTCGCCGCACAACCCTAGCTCCGCCTCCAGCCAAGCCCCGCCCTCTTCTATCTCCAGCATCAGCCAGACAAACAAAGGCATTAACGTCAAGGTGCGATAAACACGAAAAGAGCAGTCACGCTAAAATCATAGACACAGATTCTATAACAGTCTTTACAAACATGCATACAACTAATTAATGAATCAACTTAAAAGCACGGCTAACCTCTCACTCAAGACCTGTAGTCACGGAGGTGGGACAATCTTTCTGTTATTTGTGTCATCATCTGTAAATCTCTTTTACTACTGACAAAAGAAATCTCTATTTTCTGCTTTTTTATTGTCTTACATCTGTTTACATTTACAAGTGTCCTCCATTGTTTGAAAAGTGCTTGATACAGTTTTGATCGATTCTCTCTTTTCTCATTTTAAATACACAGGATTAAATCAGCCTTACACATATAGCCCACCTTCTCTCTTTTAACCTTGCTACTTGGTAACTCTGTGTTTTTCATGCTTTATAGCAGGCTGCTACATTGAAAATACACATAAGACAGAAACAAAACACAACACAGTAACTCAGACATAAACAGATGGTTGGTTTTAGACAGTAGGTTAGTATAGAAAGTAGTTCAACATGTACATTTTGTGGAACAAACAATTAGTTCATTGTGCCAGTCCTACTTCTTAAAATTTCTATCATACCTCAACAATGAGAGACACTATTAGAAAATAAATCTAGAAACATTTCACAACATTTATACCACGTTCAGTGTCCTAACGTGTCATGTCTGTGTTTTATTTCCAGGAGATCCTGAAGAGCCTGGTGGCAGCTCCCGTGGATGGAGGGGATCTGGGGCAGGAGTCGGGTCCCACCCCGTATCACCCAGACCCCGCCCTGAAGACCCACCCCATGTTGCCCATGCAGTTCCACTCCTTCGACAGGTCAGTGTTGAACCTACGGGACGATAACAACAAGTGCCGCATGATTTTGGAAAAATATATACTACGTTTAGTTCACAATCTGAAATCATCATTATAGATTTAGGCCCCTGGTTAGCCACATTAGCAGAGTTAGGTAGAGTGTTTGCCGCATTAGCAGTGATAGCCCCTAGTTAGGGACATTAGCAGAGTTAGCCACAGTTAGCCACTTTAGTCGAGTTAACCACAGTTAGCCACATTAGCAGAGTAAGACCCTTGTTAGACAAATTAGCAGAGTTAGCCACAGTTAGCCACGTTAGCGGAGATAGCTCCCAGTTAGGCATGTGGCTGCCGGATTCGTCCCGGAAACCGGATTCATCCGGAAGTTCAGTTTGCGCATGTCAAAAAGTGTAAATAAAGGTCATGCCTGCAGCTGCAGCTTGAAGAGGGAGCTCTCGTCCAAAAGTTTTAAGTTTGAGGAAAAAATCCCGGGTGAGGCACGAGGCAAGATGGCAGCGACGCGCTGAGCTCCGTGCAACCCCGTATTGAGTTGATATATTTAACAAAACCCGATAACGTTTTTAACTGTCTGGAGGTGCGCTCTGAGTTCTCTTACAATGTCAACAAGAAGAGAACAAGGTTTGGGGAAAAAACAAGAGGCGGGCAACAGCAAAAGTTCCGCGCGCCTCTCAGCCCCTGAGCTAACGGAGGAGCTAGCTGTGCTAATCAAGACAACACTTGCTGACGAAATGATGACCTTTCATGAGAACGCCAGTAAGCTGATCAAGGATTCTATTAACTCATTCACTGCCAGCCATTTAAAAAGCAGCATCCCTCATACTGCCAGAGATTTTGGACATTTTTTGTGTTTTTCCGAACCGCATAGAAATGTGAGCCCTTAGTTGACACAAGTATGAAACATACCAAATGAAAGCTCTATCCCTTGGCTTTCATTTAAAAAAAAAAGTAAGTTTCTAACCCTTTTAGTTTTTTAGCAATTGAGAGTGCAACATAGGTAACTTTCACACAAAATGCTGTTTCCTGACCAAGATTTGGAGAAAACAGCCTTTTTGTGAAACGCGCATTTTCAAGCAGAAAAGTGGGTTTTTTTGTCTTTACTGATATTTTACAATGTATGACAGTTTCTTACTATGACACAAAACAGAAACAATACTTTGAATTGTATTTTTAATGTATAATTATTTTTAAACAAATTAAACGTGTACACACAATACACTCAAAGGATTGTCTTATGTACACATAAAATATTCAACTTGTATACAATAAAAACACTTTGTACACAAATACACAGTAAAAATAACACTTTCTGAACACTTTGTGAAACAATTTTACTTTAGTTTATAAAGAATAGTAATTGGGTGACCCCACACTCTGCTGAAGTGTGGGGTGGAATCTACTTCCTCCGCACTCCCAATACATTTCCAGATTAGTTTTTTTTTTACAAACCCAGAGAGAAATGTCAAATCAAAAAAGGTTTTAGCTGCAGTCTGTCACGGGCTTCCATGCATTTTCTCTGCTGAATGGGAGACGCTGTGTGTGTGCACTGAAATATTGTGCTGCATACAGCTTTGTCTGTTCAACACAAGATCCAGGATCCAGCAGTTCATTAGTTATGAAGAGCTGCATAAATCAGCTGCTGATCCAAATCAAGCTCTGCTGCAGCATTTTGGGGTCCTGGGGTCAACAATCTACAACACAAAGGAAAATATAAAATCACCATACATTTTCACATTATAACAAGTGTTTTGGCTTCAGCAGCTATGACATTGAGATAAAAAAAACTCTTCAATATTCGCTAAAAACGTTACTTTGTTTATTTTTACATAGTATAAGGCAGTGATTGCTATAGTCACTCGCTCCAGAATCTCTCAATGTTTGAACGCAAAATCACGCAGACTCTGGGATCAGAGCAACAGAGAGAGAGTCTCTCTCTCCCTGTTCCAAAGCAGCAGCGGGCGCGCTCCTGACGCACCACAGCAGAATGCACAACATGGTGCGGTAAATCTAACACTTGTTGCTCACCGGTCTGCCATGGATCACCTTCCCCTGTCCCTTCTATAAACCACACGGTAACATCATCCATAGCTCCCTGGCAGCTAATGCTGCATGCCAGATTCACACGCCTCCAAACTCAAGAGGGAAACTTTTGGAAAAATGTCCCGCGTAATCAAGCATTTTACCCCGCAATAATCATTCATCATTCAACAATTGCGCGCAAATCCTGGAGGGGCTGATAGTACATTAGACAAAGGGGAGAAATAAACTCGTAAATGCAACATGTTGAAGTGAAAAGCAACTCACCAGATTACGACGGGGGGAGGAGCCGCCGCTGCTGCTGGACGAGGAGGGAGGGAGAAGCCTCCGAGGATCCTGGAGTCTCATGTTAACTAAAACCTGAAGAACTAGCATCCTGGCATCTAGCTGCTTCATATTTATCCGTTTGATGACTGAACAGGCTCTCAAACAGCGTTAGCTGCGTGAGCTTTTCAGATCCGCGATCCTCTGTGTAAGCATGGCTGCTCCTCTGGCTGTTTGCTGCTCACAGCACCACATGCCCCCTTCTCCCTCCCTGGATCTGGCCACAGTGTCACCTCTGCCCCCTACAGGATCGGTTCCAAAGTGTTTACAGGTCTGAAATGTTGACACAGGATGCACAAGAGCCTTGACGAGCCATAGAAAGAAAAAAACAAAAAAAAAGCGATTGACGTCTATAGACGTCAATGGCAGTGAACGTTCGGATTTAGATTGACGTCTATAGACGTCAATGGCAGTGAATGAGTTAAGGAGTCCCTTGCCCCCATTGAGAAGACATTGACCGAAAACAGCAACATTCTGCGGTCACTGAGCGAACAGATGGACACTCATGCTAAAAAGTTCACTACAGTCTTCAATAAAGTAGATAGCATTCAAGCTAACCTCAGAAAGAACGAGACTGATACTGCGCGCTGTTGGGAGGAGATAAAAAAACTGCGTGAGAACTTGACTGAGCAAGAGGATCGAGCCAGAAGAAACAATGTGCGGCTGGTAAACTTACCAACTGGAGCGGAGGGTGGGGACCCGCGGGGGTATATTCAGAAGATGCTCCCCACCTGGATCCCGTCTCTCCGCGGGTCACAAGTGGAAATTGACAGAGCTCATCGGATCTACTCCAATAGCACTACGAAGACCCAGACCATGATATTCCGTCTTCTTCGTTACACTGACCGACAGGCTATACTTGAAGGAGCAAGAAAAGCCAAACCGAGTCTCCCAGCTGGCACTCCGCTGTGGTTTTACGCAGACTACAGCACCGCGACAAGTAAGAGACGGCGAGAGTATAATGATGTTCGAGCCAGGCTTCGGAAGAAAGGCATCGAAACCTTCCTAGTCTACCCTGCAACCCTGAAGGTGAAATACAAGGGCAGGAAGATGTCGTTTGAAACGCCCGGGCAAGCCGAGGAAGCGCTGGCCGCTGCACTACGGGAGGATGGAGAAGGCGAGCGCTTGGAAGAACAACATGTTGACTCTGACTCTGGGTGAAATGACCTACTGCAAAGAAGCAGGTTTGGAATTGTTCTTGCTCACAAATGTTGGACTATTTTGGCCTTTTGTTTTGTTTTTGTTTTTTATTTGATGAAAGGTGGCTCCTGGTTTCTTTTATTTTACGGGTAGGAACAGTTTTATTTTTACGTAGTAAATGACCAGACCGGGATAGTAAGTTAAAATTAAAAAAAAAAAAAAAAAAAAAAAAATCCAGATCATTTATATTGTCTCTCAGGTTTATCTGATGTACACACTAGCTCGAGTTTGTAAGGGACAACTGTTATATTTGAGTTATTATCATTATTACATTTGTACGGTTCAGATAAACAATGCGCTTGTAGTATTATATGACGGAGCTGGGTTGAGGTACTAGTTCGGGTTGTCGTTTAGTGTATACAAGAGGGGGGTGGGTTCGGAGGCTGGCGTGTGACGTTGCCGAGTGACGCTCACGGATGCAACAGGAGGGTGATGGGGAAAGGGGGGGGGGACAGAGGGAGGGGGTGAGAGAGGGGGCACAGAGGGATGGGGTGGGAGAGGGGGCTGCTGCTACCAACAATGAGCGTAACGTTTTTAAATGTATTGATGCTACTACACCGAAATCTTTCAAAATTATGTCTTTTAATGTTAAAGGCTTAAACTCTCCCTATAAAAGATCCAAGGTTTTAGATTTTCTCAACAGAAAGAAAGTAGATATAGCAATGTTTCAGGAAACCCATTTGAGGCCGAGTGATGTGGTTAGAATGCAAAATAGATTATACAAGCCTGTTGCGTGGTCATCTGATGGTACGCGTACTAAAGGAGTCATGATAATTATGAAACGGAATTTGAATTTGCTAATTGAGAAGAGCGGCTCGGACGAAGCAGGTAGAATGTCATACTGTTGTGTGTCCGCTCAGGGTAAAAAGATTGCACTTGTTAGCTTGTATGCGCCAAATACCTTTGAAAGTGACTTTTTCCCTTCCATAACAAAAAGATTGCTGACACTTTCTGGCTACCAGTTGTATGTGGGGTCTGACATGAATGCCCAGGTCAATATGTACCTTGATAAAACAACTTCCATATTCTCCGGCTCCCAAGATGCTGCTTCAAAGGCGCTTAATCGTTTTATGACAGACTTAAACATAAAGGATGTTTGGAGGATACATAACCCATCGGCTAGGGATTACACCTTTTACTCAGATAGGCATAAAACGTTTTCCCGTATTGACTATATTATGGTGTCTTCTAGTCTTCTCCCGGCAATTGGTGCGATAGACATTCTACCGAGGTACATATCGGATCACAATCCAATAATATCAACCTTTAACTACACAATGATTAAGAACAGGAATAGTAGATGGAGATTTAATACTACTCTTTTAAAGTGCGAAGAATTTTTGAAACAAATACGGGCCCAATTAACAGAATTTATTGCTCTGAATAAGGGCACTATTGCAGACAAGACGCTAATATGGGCATCAGTTAAGGGTAGTATTCGTAAC